TCTAATGAGTAGTTTTAAGCTGTAGTTCACATTTTTGTACAGATGTTCTAGATTCTACATTGTATGTCTCAAACCTTATACATGAACCCGAAATGACTAAGTCAATAAAAATGGGAAAAAAAAAAAAAAAACAAAAAAACACCTGAAAAATGCAGAAAAATTATCAAATAATGTTGAAAATACCAGGTGCATATCTTCATATGGTAAATAATAAGTGAGCAAATTTTCATACAAATCTATGCAATAGTCTCTGGGAACAAAACCACATATAAAAATTAAAAAAAAAACACCTGTAAAATGCAAAAAAATTATCCAATCATGATGAAAATACCAGGTGCACACCTTCATATGGCAAATGATAAGTGTACAAATTTTCAGACGAATCCTTGCAACAGTTTCCAAGAAATGGTCCGGACAAAATCTCGTCTACAGACAGACGGACATGCTGATTCCAATATACCCCCCCCCTAAACTTCGTTTGCGGGGGTATAAAAATAAGTCATGTTGACCTACTTTTCAGTTGTCGTACTCTGAGGACCCAAGATGCAACAACTGACAAAGATTAATGATTCTAAGCCAATTAGTACCTGAAAAAATATTTAATCAGGTCACAGTGACCTACTTTTCAGTTGACATACTCAAAGCACCCAAGATGCATCAACCAACAAAGTTTGATGACTCTAAGCAAATTAGTACCCAAAAATATTTAAAATATATATCCATGAAATTCCAAAAGTAGGTCATAGTGACCTACATTTAAGTCGATATATGCCTAGGACCCAAGATGCATCAACTGACAAGTTTGAAGATTCTAAGCCAATTAGTACCTGATATATTCAAATAAAGCAATAAAATTTCAAAAGTAGGTCACAGTGACCTACTTTTCAATCAACTTACTCCGAGGACCCAAGATGCATAAACTGACAAAGTTTGATGATTATAAGCCAATTAGTGCCTTAAATATTTAGATAAAGCCAAAAAATTTCAAAAGTGCGTCACGGTGACCTACTTTTCAATCAACTTACTCCAAGGACCCAAGATGCATCAACTGACAAAGTTTGATGATATTAAGCCAAATAGTAGGTGAAATATTTAGATATAGTCATAAAATTTCAGAATTAGGTCACGGTGACCTACTTTCCAGTAGACCTACTCCAAGGACCCAAGATGCATCAACTAACAAAGTTTGATGATTCTAAGCCAATTAGTTCCTAAAATATTTAATTAAAGCAATATGCTTCCAAAAGTTGGTCACAGTAACCTACTTTTCAGTCGACTTACTCCGAAGACCCAAGATGCATCAACTGACAAAGTTTGATGATTCAATGCCAAATAGTACCAAAAATATTTAAATATAGCCATATGTTGACGGTTTTTGAGGATCAAAGATGCTTCAAAAAGTAGGTTACTGTGACTTACTTTTTAATAAATATGTTTTATGGCCCCAAGATGCATCATCTTACAAGATTTAATGATTCTAAATCTCTCAGTATTCGAATTAATGAACTTAAAAATGTTTTGAAAAAGATTAGTCATAAAATTCAGAAAGTAGGTCAAGGTGACCTTCTTTATAGTTGACATACTCTGAGGACACAAGATGCATCAACTGACAAAGTCTAATGATCATAGGCCTTAAATTGTTCAAAATATGCCTCTAAATTATTTTGAAAAAGAATGGCCACAAAATATAAAAAGTAGGTCACTTGACCTACTTTTGAGTCAACATGATATAATGTCCTTAGATGCATCAACTGACAAGATTTGATGATCCTAGTCCTTATAGTAAGCAAAATATCAACATTTTAATAAAATGTAATTTTTGGTCAACTTTGAAGTGACCTTGAGACCATGCCCTTTTCCCCAGGGTGATTCCCCATGCAAATTTTAATCTACAACATATCCTCATCCTTTTGTTTCAGTTGAGTGATAATCTGACCAGTGGTTCTTGAGAAGATTTTTTAGCAACCAGTACTTTTGTTTCTATTTACCTAATTATCTCCCCTTGTTTAAGGGTCACAACCCTAGTTTTAATATAAATGGGAGTCCTTGGGTCTAGGATAACCTGTGACAAATTTGACAATAATTGGCCAAGGGGTTCTTGAGTTATGGTCCATATTCTAAAAAGTTTACGCACACCAGGGAATCAGCATTCATTTAATACTTTAGCCATCAAGGGAAATCCAAATTTTTAAACGAAAGACAAGAATTAGATTTAGATCTGAATTAAATAATGTCATCTTTATAATTAATTATTGCAGTGGTCATTTTAGGCCTTATTTATTTACAAATATATCGCCCTAATCAATAAAACAACGCATGCAGTGCTACCTCTTTTGAGATCTGAATCTCCCTCTTTTTCATCACAATAGGTTTACACATATGAGTATCTGTTTTTATAATTTTTGAAAAAAAGTTTGTACTAAGTGGCATTAAAACAGAACTTAACAGATTTAATTTACCAATGTCCTGTTCAATGACCAAATAAAACTTTGTAGGGAGTACTATCAGTGTTTTACCCATATGTCTTATCTGCACATGAAGGTACTAAAAGATATAATCAATGCAGATCACCCACAACAAAGCTAATTGTGTATCTATTCAAGGTCAAAAGACTTCAATGTCGACTGCAAGTGTGGTATTAATAAAATCTTGTACTTATTTATCAGAAAGTGAAAATATTAAAATCATTAAAGGTTACTATAACTAAGAGTAAATAGTTCACTAAAGAACAGGAAATAAGAAGCTGAAATTAAAGAATCCTTAGCTGTACTGATTCCTTTTAATTCAAATATAATTATAATCATGATTATTGCTTATCAAAGGGTCAAAAACATTAATGGAAAACCCTAAACTTAAATACATTTATTTAATAACTGAGTAATGGGTTTCCCAACCATCCCTATTAATGTATTTGAAAACCTTCGTACATAAATACAATTATTGAAAATAATTAACCTATCACCAGCCTTCCCTAATCTTTTGTTTTTTGAAAATAATTAACCTATTACCAACCTTCCCTATCTTCTGTTTTGCCAGACAACCCTAGCAAACAAATTTTCATTGTTTTCTATGAGAATCCCTCATTCCAATATTACTTATCTGATATTTCTGCAATGCCCAATGATTCATTCTGAATTAATTATATTGTATATGTTCTAGGCCTAGCAATTGCTTCAAAGAATAGAGTCAAATCATAAACTAATACTTAAATCCATACATTTTGATTTCTTTATTGCTAAAAAAAGTTATGGAAGTAAACTTTTTAAACAAGAAATCTTGTTTATTAGATGTTCTTGGCAAAAGCATAACAGATTCCTGTTTATCTCTCTCTGTATAAACTGCTACTTGACAACTGACATTGTACCTAACTATTTACATTGAACTTATCTACTGACATTGTACCTGATAACTAATTCTGTACCTTACTACTGTCAATGTACCCAACTTCTGACTGTACCTGACTACAGATTCTGTACCTGGCTATTGACAATTTAACTGATATTTGACTCTGTTCCTGACAACTGACACTGTACCTACTGTCAGTCTACCCAATTTCTGACTCTGCACCTGACAACTAATTCTGTACCTGACTATTGGGACTTAATTTGATTACTGACTTTGTACCTGGCTACTGATTCTGTTCTTATCCAGCTACTGACTTTGTAACTGACTAAGTACTGACAATGTACCTGTTCTTGACTACTGAAAAGAAAAGTTATGGAAGTGCATAACTGATTTCTCTTTATCTCTCTCTCTCTAACGTACTAACTACTACCTGAAAACTCACAACGTACCAAGTTACTGACATTGTACCCGATTACTGACGTTGTACCTAACTACTGTCATTATACCTAACTACTGACGCTGTACCTAACTTCTGATGCTGTACCTACCTTCTGACATTGTACCTAACTACTGACATTTTACCTAACCACTGACACTGTACCTAACTACTGACAAATACCTAACAACCGAAATTGTACCTAACTACTGACATTATACGTGAAAACTGTTATTGTACCTAACTACTGACATTGTAACAACCAACATTGTACCTAACTACTGACATTGTACTTGACTACTGACATTGTACCTAACTACTGACATTGTACCTAACTTCTGACAGTGTAACTAACTGCTGACATTGTACCTATAATTGACATTGTTCTGACAATGCACCTAACTTCTGACATGTACCTAACAACCGATATTGTACCTAACTACTGACATTATAACTGACTACTGACATTGTACCTAACTACTGACATTGTACCTAACTTCTGACAAGTACCTAACAACTGATATTGTACCTAACAACTGACATTATATCTGACTACTGACATCGTACCTAACTACTGACATTATACCTAACTACTGACATTGTACCTAACAACCGATATTGTACCTAAATACTGACATTATACCTATCTACTAACATTGTACCTGACTACTGACATTGTATCTAACTACTGACATTGTACCTAACTACTGACATTATACCTGACTACTGACATTGTACTTGACTACTGATATTGTACCTAACTACTGACATTGTACCTAACTACTGACATTGTACTTGACTACTGACATTGTACTTGACTTCTGACATTGTACTTGACTACTGACATTGTACCTGAATATTGACATTGTACCTAACTACTGACATTGTTCCTTACTACTGACATTGTACCTAACTACTGACAAGTACCTAACAACCGACATTGTACCTAACTACCGACATTGTAAGTGACTACTGACATTATACCTGACTACTGACATTGTCAGTGACTACTGACTTTTACCTAACTACTGACATTGTACCTAACTACTGACATGTACCTAACAACCGACATTGTAAGTGACTACTGACATTATACCTGACTACTGACATTGTCAGTGACTACTGACTTTGTACCTGGCTACTGACTTTTACCTAACTACTGACATTGTACCTGACACTAAACAAACAAACTGATAACTGTTCTTGTACTGAGTATTACCTGACTACTGCCTGTATGTAGAACTCTTGACTTAGTTTGGAATCTCTCTCTTCCATTCCTTCTTGTATTTTCTGTGCCAGCCAGGCAATTGACTTGTCAGCAGGCTTCAGATAGGAAATCAAAGTCTACAACAAATATTTATTTTGATTATTTTCTTATACATACAAATAATTACTTATTTATTTATTTTACTGCCAATTTATTTGTCAGATAATTATCTAATGAGTGCACAGTTAGTTCAAGTAATCTGAACAGTTCATTCAACCTTAAGCAATCATTAGTATTTTTCATGAACTCCCTGAATTCACATAAACAGACATAAACTGTTATTGAATCATGTAAGAATAACAACCGGAATTGAAAATGTGAAAAACAACAGGCCCATTGGTCACTTTGCTCACCTAAGACCTTTGTCTGCTAAACTAATCTGAACCAATTTTAATATACATAATGAATATGTAAGCATCCACATAAATCTAGTCATTTCTGGCCCAGTGGCTCCACAGAACAGGATTTTCAAATGCCCCCTCCAAGTTGAGCTCTTCCTCATACCAGCACATTGTGCAAATATGAATATGTAATTCCACACCATCCCCTTTTCAGTGAAACCCAAAAGTTATCTCTAGCAACAACAGCAGTCCCAGGTGAGCTTTTGGTCAAACCAACCTATGCTACAAACATGATCATCCCAAACAATCTGTTTTCAAATTGTTTGTGAAAAAAATCTATATCATGAAAAAGAATTCATTTCCATTTATCCTACAAATGAATTGTTTTGTGACAGATCTTTGGCAAATATGAAAAATCCCAGACAAGCCTTCCTAACTTCACGTCATGGAAACAGAATCCTGATGAACTGACATGTGTAGGACCTTAATCCAAACCTCCACCTCAGTGGCACATGCATAATTATATTTCCATTCTACAGGGTCTTCTTTATTGATTACTTTGCTAAAATTATCAGACAACACAATAGTTTTTCTACTTTGAAATCTAGCCCCAAGACCATAAACCGAGAACAGGCTTAAGTCAAAATTTCAAATCAATATAACTTTTGAAATAATTTTGATAACAAAACAAAATTTTTACCATATGTTTAAATTGGAGTATTATACAAACCAGCATATTTTTGATAACATATGTATTATAAATGACAAGCTATTCAAAGTCAAAATTTTGACTCAAGTCTGTTCTCAGTTTATGGTCTCGCAGCCTGGTACCTGTATATCCAGAATTTAAAGTTCCACTGGATAATACAGGTATAGATGCTTTGGTACAGATACATGTGATAAAGTACCTGTAGGATGGCAGTGAAGTGGTGTTGCTTGTCTGTTTGTCTGTAGTCTTCTCTCTCCTTGCAATTGGCACACACTGGTACTGGAATGACACCTTGTCTACACATAAAATACACTGTATTTAATACAGGTCTTTTATCAAAATCCTAGGTAATGGTACAGTACAAGCCTTTTATCAAAATACTGGGTACTGGTACAACACCTTGTCTACACATAAAATACATTTAATTTTTTACAGGTCTTATATCAAAATAATAGGTAAAGGTACAAAACCTTGACTACACATAAAATATACTGCATTATTTTACAGGTCTAATATCAAAATACTGGGTACAGATATAGCACCTTGTCTACAAATAAAACACATTGTATTTTATTTAAGTCTTTTATTAAAATACTGCAATAACATGAGGGCAGAAGGCAGTGATTCAGAAGTTTATGTACCTTTGAATATTAAGCAAGAGTTCTGTAAACAGCTCACTACATAATGTTTGGCATCTTTTATTCATAGACTGTTCAACTGAATCATCCATCAGGTAGAAGTTGAAGACAGTATCATACACATATGTCTGACTGGAATAAAGAAACGTATCCTAAAGATAGTGGTGATTCTTACTATAAACAGAGAATTCAACCCCACCACCCAACTGGACAACACAAAATCAGATCTGATATCAAGGTCCTTCCTTCTGCTGCTATTCTATAAATACTGAATGATAACTATGGGAAAGTTACTGATAAAAGAAAAACTGGCCATTTACACAAGGATGCTTTGTGCTATATTTGGTTGAAAATGGTCTAATGGTTGTGGAAAAGAAGTCAGACATGTGAAAAATGAACAAGTGGACATGCAATGAACAACACCTAATCGGAAAACCTCGAAGCTTTTGTTCAGGTGAGCTAAAATAGCTAGGGTGTGCAGACAGATATTAACACCCTGTATCATACGTGTCAAGCTTTCTTTTTAAATGGCATCATAAAAATAGATACTGAAGACACATATTATTTAGATAACAGACTTCTAGTTACAAAACATGCAGACATAATTAGACTCTTAACACAAAGTGTTTAAAATAAATAACAATACACTGGTTTGATTGGCTTAAAAAATGAAAATATCAAATGGGATTGGTAATCATGGGGCATTTAAATGGCTCTCACAAAACTCTCATAAATGTAAAAGTATCTCAAATTTCTAAATTATTTCAATGAATATCCTTTTTATGCTTTTAATGCTTTTTTCTGCATTGAAATCTGCAGAAAGTTTTATAAACTAGAAATATGTCCATAGGACATGAATGCCCCGCCAAGGGTATATTAGTAATGCAGCATTTTAACACAAATTGAGAAAAGTGAGGTCAAGGTCAAAGGAAAGGTCAAGGTCAAAAAATATTGCTGCAGTTGAATAGCTTACATCAGTATGTATCAGCATATGACGTTTGATTCAGAAACTAATTTAAGAAAAGTGAGGTCAAGATCAAAGGAAAGGTCAAGATCAAACAAGAGGCCCATGGGCCACATCGCTCACCTGAGCACATTGGCAAGGCAGAAGCACAAATCAGTTCAGTATTGAAAAGATTATGGGGGAGGGGGGGGGGGGGGCTTGAATTTTAAACTACCTGATGATGCTTCCATGTCAATATAACAAATGGCTTTGTTGTACTTGAGATGATTTTTAAAAAATTTTCCCATATATTCCTTTGTAAAAAATTTGATCTCCCATTGTGGCTCCTCCCTATCCCAGGGGTCATCATTTGAACAAACTGGAATCTACACTACCTGAGGATGCTTCCATATCAATATGACTAAACATAGCTTTTCTGTTCTTGAGAAGAAATTTTTTTCTATATGTTCTTATGTAAAACTTTCAATCCCCCTATTGGGCCCCACCCTACCCTCGGGGGTCATCATTTGAACAAAATTGAATTTACACTACCTGAGGATACTTCCGTATCAAAATGACTAAACATGATTTTCAGTTCTTGAGAAGAAGATATTTTCCTATATGTTCCTACGTAAAATTTTCGATCCCCCATTATAGCCCATCCCTATCCCCTGGGGTCATCATTTTAACAAACTTGAATCTACACTACCTGAGGATGCTTCCATATCAAAATGACTAATCATGGCTTTGCAGTTCTTCATCAGAAGATATCTTCCTATACATTTCTATTTCAGACTTTTATCCTCCATTGTGGCCCCACCCTAACCCAGGGGGTCATGATTTGAACAAACTTGAATCTACACTACCTGAGGATACTTCCACATATTTATGGTCAATCAGGCCTTTGCTGTTCCTGAGAAGAAGATTTTTAAAGATTTTTCCTATATATTTCTATGTAAAACTTTGATCCTCCATTGTGGCCCCACCTTACCCCCGGGGGGTCAGGATTTGAACAAACTTGAATCTACACTACCTGAGGATACTTCCACATAAATATGATCAATCAGGGCTTTGCTGTTCCTGAGAAGAAGATTTTTAAAGATTTTTCCTATATATTTCTATGAAAAACTTTGATCCTCCATTGTGGCCCCGCCCTACCCCCGGGGGTCAGGATTTAAACAAACTTGAATCTACACTACCTGAGGATGCTTTCATATAAATATGACCAATTAGGGCTTTGCTGTTATTGAGAAGAAGATTTTTAAAGATTTTTCCTATATACATCTATGTAAAACTTTGATCCTCCATTGTGGCCCCGCCCTACCCCTGGTGGTCAGGATTTGAACAAACTTGAATCTACACTATCTGAGGATGCTTTCATATAAATATGACCAATTAGGGCTTTGCTGTTATTGAGAAGAAGATTTTTAAAGATTTTTCCTATATATTTCTATGTAAAACTTTGATCCTCCATTGTGGCCCCGCCCTACCCCCAGGGGTCATGATTTGGACAAACTTGAATCTACACTACATGAGGATGCTTCCATATCAATATGACCAATTAGGGCTTTGCTGTTCTTGAGAAGAAGATTTTTAAAGATTTTTCCTATATACATGTATTTCTATGTAAAACTCTGATCCTCCATTGTGGCCCCGCCCTACCCCCAGGGGTCATGATTTGGACAAACTTGAATCTACACTACATGAGGATGCTTCCATATCAATATGACCAATTAGGGCTTTGTTGTTATTGAGAAGAAGATTTTTAAAGATTTTTCCTATATATATCTATGTAAAACTTTGATCCTCCATTGTGGCCCCGCCCTACCCCCGGGGGTCAGGATTTGAACAAACTTGAATCTACACTACCTGAGGATGCTTCCATGTAAATATGACTCATCATGGCTTTGCTGTTCTTGAGAAGAAGATTTTTAAAGGTTTTTCCTATATATTTCTATGTAAAACTTTGATCCTCCATTGTGGCCCCGCCCTACCCCCAGGGGTCAGGATTTGGACAAACTTGAATTTACACTACATGAGGATGCTTCCATATCAATATGACCAATTAGGGCTTTGCTGTTATTGAGAAGAAGATTTTTAAAGATTTTTCCTATATATTTCTATGTTAAACTCTGATCCTCCATTGTGGCCCCATCCTACCCCCGGGGGTCATGATTTGAACAAACTTGAATCTACACTACCTGAGGATGCTTCCACATGAGTTTCATCTTCCCTGGCTTTGTGGTTCTTGAGAAGAAGATTTTTAAAAGATGCTATTAATTTTTCACTAATTCTTTATTATTTCCCCTTGAAAGAGGGCGTGGCCCTTCATTTGAACAAACTTGAATCCCCTTCACCCAAGGATACTTTGTGGCAAGTTTGGTTGAAATTGGCCCAGTGGTTCTTGAGAAGAAGTCAAAAATGTGAAAAGTTTACAGACGGACGGACGGACAGACAGACAGACAGACAGACAGACAGACAGACAGATGGACAGACGGACCACAGACAAAATGTGATCAGAAAAGCTCACTTGAGCCTTCGGCTCAGGTGAGCTAAAAATGTTGATGTAGTTGAAAAGGTTACATCAGTATGTATTAGCATATGAAGTTTGATGAAAATATTATGAATGGTTTCTTTAAAACTGAGCTAAACACTAATTTAAGAAAAGTGAGGTCAAGGTCAAAGGAAAGGTCAAGGTCAAAAAATATTGATGCAGTTGAATAGCTCTCATCAGTATGTATCAGCATATGAAGTTTGACACTAATTTAAGAAAAGTGAGGTCAAGGTCAAAGGAAAGGTCAAGGTCAAAAATGTTGATGCAGTTGAAAAGGTTACATCAGTATGTATTAGCATATGAAGTTTGATGAAAATATTATGAATGGTTTCTTTAAAACTGAGCTAAACACTAATTTAAGAAAAGTAAGGTCAAGGTCAAAGGAAAGGTCAAGGTCAAAAAATATTGATGCAGTTGAATAGCTTACATCAGTATGTATCAGCATATGAAGTTTGACACTAATTTAAGAAAAGTGAGGTCAAGGTCAAAGGAAAGGTCAAGGTCAAAAAATGTTGATGCAGTTGAATAGCTCTCATCAGTATGTATCAGCATATGAAGTTTGATAACACTATCTTGAATGGTATCTTTAAAACTGAGCTAAAAACTTATTTAAGAAAAGTGAGGTCAAGGTCAAAGGAAAGGTCAAGGTAAAAAATATTGATGCAGTTGAATAGCTCTCATCAGTATGTATCAGCATATGAAGTTTGTTAAAAATATCTTGAATGGTTTCATTAAAACAGAGCTAAGCATTAATTTAAGAAAAGCGAGGTCAAGGTCAAAAGAAAGGTCAAGGTCAAAAAAATGTTGCTGCAATTGAATAACTTACATCAGTATGTATCAACATATGAAGTTTGATTACACTATCTTGAATGGTATCTTTAAAACTGAGCTAAACACTAATTTAAGAAAAGTGAGGTCAAGGTCAAAGGAAAGGTCAAGGTCAAAAAATGTTGATGCAGTTGCATAGCCCTCATCAATATCTATCAGCATATGAAGTTTGATAAAAATATCTTGGATAGTTTCTTTGAAACTGAGCTTTGAACAGAGCTAAATGCAAAGTGTGACGGAAGGACAGACGGAAGGACGGAAGACGGACATGACAAACACTATATGCCCCGGCCATATTCATGGAGGGGCATAATAAAAATATAATAGTGGAAATTAGGTCTAATTCATTTTTTAAGAATTTGAAAGGGACAGAAATATATCCTTTCCATAAGGATGAAATAACTGGATTAACCTACATGTTAATTCTAGGTTGACTGACAATTTTTCCACTCACTTTCATTTACCTACATTAACCTAACTAAACCTATTGCTTATGTAAACTTCAGATTTTCAATATAAAAAATATAATTGAAAAGTCTTTACATGTACATGTATGTCAATTTTCATACCTGAAAATTTTGTTCAAAAGTTTATGAATGTTATGCTGTTTTTATAAACTTGAGATTCATAATAAGAAAACATATCTGAAAGGTTCAACATTGCCTTGAGAAAAAATAATTTTAGAGACAAAAATTACCAATCTCCATAGGACAATTGTTCCTCTGGGACAGAAATTTTCATTTCCAGCTGAACCCAGCTTCTGAAGGAAAGCTACAAAGATCCAAATATATACCATATAGTGGGTTTCTTTAGCGGGTGTAAAATTTGGCTCAGGGATAGACATTAACGGTTGTCCGATTGCCAGGGACAAGTAAATTCTCAGTTCGGGCAAGTGAAATTGTCGAAGTACTTGTCCGATCGGGCAAGTGAATTGTTCTCATACATTTTAATGTACATATTGATTTAGTTTACATTAATTAATAAATAAAACAATAAATTGAACACTTGATTTCCGTCACGCACCTGACTGACAATGTTTTTGCATTCTAAATTCCCTGGAAGCATTTCTGGATTATACCGTTCATTTAAAAATCGGGTTCGTTATTTTCTTTCGTAATAAATATGCTCTATGTCTAACAAAATTTTATTAACTTCTTATTAGGAAATTAGATTATTTATTTACGCACAGAATATATAAGTACAGTATAACACGATGTATCCTGATCAAGATAAGATGTATGTTTCGTAGCAAGTATCTTCCTTAAGCGTTGCTTCACAGTTATCTCTGAAAATAACGAATCACAAAAGGATCCTACCGAGGCCATCATTAAAAATATCTTTGTTTCCCCTAACCTGACCCAAAAATCTCAAGATGGGTCGGTAGGTAGGTAAATTATTTTTTTTTCTGACAGCAGGTTTGGGAATACATTCTGAAAAATTGAATAATATCTTTATAAATAAGAGAGAACAAAAGAAACCAATTTTAAACCCAATATCATTCAAATGAAGCAACATGTATGGTAAATTAATTCACAAATATTATTCATTTGAACTTGTAAAATATCTCAGGCCAGCGTAAATTTATTGAAATCAATTATTTACAAAAAACACAAGATTTGCAAATACTGAACCATCGGACATTCGAGTACATTTTTCAAACCTACTATCATCTTCAAGTACTTACACAGACAAAATGTCAAGGGCCTCGCGTGGCACAGTAATTCTAGTGTTTCGTTTTGGAGTCACGACGCAATTCGGGAGCTAATTCTATGTCACAGGTCCCGACGTGGGACTTGCAGACCGGTCAGTCGAATAAGACCATAAAAAACATAGGTCCAGTGTCGGAGTATACATGTAGATGGCACGTAAAAGATCCCTTACTGATGCTTAATGATCAAAGGCCATAATTGCCGGGTAAAAGTCTAAATTTGGAGCCTTCCACCGGCCCAACAAATTTTAAAGGGATTTTAAAGCAAAGAAACAACCTGTTTTCAAGGGCCTAACTAAAGCAAATTAAACTGGCCGTCTCAGGAAGCCGTACCATAAGCAAATTTTAAAGATATCAACACTATTTGGAAATAGTGTACATGTACAGGTATAAACAATATATAATTCAACCAAACCATATCTAAAATGATTAAGGTTTCATATATCTAATTTTATAGTCACGGAGTCAATACCCCATAAATAAAAGGAATAAAGAAACGACATCTGAATTATATTTATCAAATGAAATAATCATACAAAGACATATTTACAACTCCTATGGTCCTATGTAGTAAAAATAGGATCTTACATGAACTGTTTATTAGATCGAAACGAATCAAATGCAGTGAAATTTATTGATATGTATTCACAAGGAGCGCCCCTCATCTACTCATGAGCCAGGCTTTGCTATGCTTACTACGTACGTTAATTTTTTAAATACCATCTTAACACTCCTTAGTCATGGTACATTAATTCAAGAGGTGTCTCAAGAGTGTAGGATTCTAATAAGTTAAAGATGTAATAAGATTGATACGTCACCATTGTTTTAAAACACGAACTAACCCTCTGTGGCCACATGTTGTCGGCACCAAATGAGAGTAAAAAAAAAAGCCGCTGTTCTGATAAAAAACGGATTTTGATGAAATTGTATTTTATAAATTTGATAAACAATAAAAAAAAAATATTTAAATAATCTTATTAAAAAAACTTTTCAGTCGGCACGATTTAAGTGGGTCGGTCGCGTTAGGGGAAACAAAGGTACATGTATTTTTTATTTTGGCCCGAAAATAATTTTTTAATAAAATATGAATTTTATTAAAAGGAAATGGAGGGTTAATGCTGCATGGCAGTATGTGTTAACAGGTTAAATTTTACAAGTACAGCGGTATACATTTATGTACAAATGCAGCATCGAAATTTTTTTCAGGTAGCTCAACTTGCAAAATTGACAGTTGTGTACTTGGTCACATTTTTTCTTATCATAACGTCTATAAAAATTAATGACTTTCTTCTTAATTTCTTTCCTAATTTTGGGCAACCAAGTTTAGCATTCGGACAAGTCAAAGTCTAAAGATCACTTGCCCGAAGGGCAAGTGGATCTGAAACTTAATGTCTATCCCTGTGGCTTTTTGCTGGCTCAAATGTATGTCAATAATTTTGGCGGAACTTTTTTTGGTGGATACAGAGTTCCACAATTTTGCAAAAAGAGATAAAATTAATTTTTAGATGATCGAGTTTGAATATGTTTAAAATATGTTTGAATATGGATTTTCACAAGAGTTCGAGTAAATACCAATACTGGATTAAGATTTAACATTTAACAAGGGTATGATCAAAATTATTCAAGTTATCTTTCTTGTATTCAGTTTTAATAAGCAAGGGTGCAAATTTAGTGATTAAAATCCACATGCAGATATTTTAAAATTTAACTTAAAAAGTGTTGGCATATCCCAGTTGTCATATTATTTTTTCATTTAAAGAATCATTTATTATTATCATTATTTCTTACTTATTTAACATGCCTAGAGAACACTACTTAAGTAATATATAATGACAAAAACTTCTAAAGACTGAAGAAGTATGGACATTTACTGACTGTAATAGAGTATTTTGACAAACCTTTACTCTATATATAGCAGCTTTGACTTCTAAGTATGAACATTTACTGACTGTAACAGAGAAATTTGACAAACCTTTACTCTATATATAGCAGCTTTGACTTCTAAGTATGAACATTTACTGACTGTAACAGAGAAATTTGACAAACCTTTACTCTATATATAGCAGCTTTGACTTCTAAGTATGAACATTTACTGACTGTAATAGAGAAATTTGACAAACCTTTACTCTATATATAGCAGCTTTGACTTCTAAGTATGAACATTTACTGACTGTAATAGAGAAATTTGACAAACCTTTACTCTATATATAGCAGCTTTGACTTTTTCTGTTAGTTGTGAGATTTCATCAACACTTTGGTCTCCATGAAGAAAATATTTAATGTGATGATACAAAAACTGAAACTTGAAAATAGTACTGAATATTCACCAAATGAGCTCTATCAAGGAACATAGCAGCATAAACTGGAGTGGATAATATACAAGTATGACAGCAATATAAAACAAAACAAAATAAAATCCACAGAGTTCATGATGAAGGGTTGGCTGCTTCGTAATCCCGTGAAACAAATCCAATTAATGAAAATTATTGTGCTGTTGCAAGTTTTCTTATATTTCACTGATACCAAATTATACACAAAGTTTTTCTCTTGAATACCATTAAATATTTCAAAATGAGTTGGAAGGCCCGTCCACTTCTCCTTTTATTGATTAATTTTACATTTATGTCCATATGACCTAAAGGTCTTCAGAAACCAAAAGACAAGTTACTAGTATATGTATATACCAGTCTTATTTCATTTAGACATTTGGTCATATTATTTTATACAAACAGTTTGAATGAGAGAACACATTTTAAGCCAAGTTTCATATGTCAATCATACTGATACCTTGTATAAGAAAGTCTCTGGCAGGAAGTCTTGGATGGCAATGCCTCTCATACTTGACAAACTGTTGACAAAGTCCAGCATTATTCTGTAAAAGAAATACTGCATTCAAGGTAAAGGACAAACTGTTGACAAATTCTAGCATTATTCTGTAAAAAAAAAAAAAAAAAAAAAAACTGCACTCAAGTTAAAGGACAAACTGTTGACAAATTCTAGCATTATTCTGTAAAAGAAATACTGCACTCAAGGTAAAGGACATATATTTCATTTCTCATCAAATGATCAAAGTTATCAGTCATGCGAGTGTCACAAGGAAAAATTTTCATGAGACAAATTGTTTTCTTTTTTTTTTTGTATATTTATCTTCACCTCTTATTAAAATTTCATCCCCCAATTTCACACTTCATCAAAGGGCAATGGTGCAAACAGAGAGCATATGAAGATATTCATATCATTTCGGCAATGTTAGGCTTATCCTCTATCAGAGGATTTTTTCAAAAATTCATTATAAACAATGGAACCCCCCCCCCCCCCCCCCCCACCACCACCACCACCACCACCACACACACACTTTCTTTTCAGATCATAAATTGAACATGCAGAATTTTTTCATTGTATGACAATGCTCCCTTTCAATCTTGCAATGTTTGTCGTCATATAATTCTTGAGAAGAAGATTTCTCAATTATTTTTGTATATATTTGTAAAATCGGAGATTCTTCAGGACTCCATCATTGCCTTGGCAGCCATAGTCTAAATAAACTTGAATCTTCCCTTCTGAATCAAAAACAAGCTTCTAAATAAGTTTTTGCCATTGCCAGCTCTGTGGTTCTGGTATCCTTGTAGTTCTAGAAAAAAATGTCATTGCTTCTACTGAATTTCTTCATTTTTTTGTTAGATCTTCTAGCTTACAAAATCCTTTTCAAATTATACAAAACTGAACTACTGCATCACATTTTATACGCAAAACTTTATATTCACATACTTACACAAGAAGGTCTACTTGCAAAAATTTTATTCTCACATCTATTTCTATTACTAAAGTTGATGTACAAAAATTAAGTCTCGCCTGTAAATGCAAAACATCTTTCTCATGAAAATAAGGCGTCACCAAAACTTGGTGATCTACAGTAAACAAAAAGAGTGATATTCTCTTCAACAATTGTAAAAAGCTATAGCACAGGGAACTAATTTTGTAACATAAATCAGCATAAGCAAAATAAGCAACAGCATCCAGCTAGCATCAGGATCAGCATTGCCAAGATAAGCATCAGCAAGCAAAGGATAAAACTAGCATTATTAGCATTGACCCACTTAAAATCAGCACTGACCTACTAGAATCAGAAAATCAATTTGTTTTTCTTCAATTAAAAAAAGAAAGAAAATAAGGAAAAAAACTGGTTAAATTATTTAAAATATTCATACATAGTTAACAAGAGGCCCAAGGGCCTTGAATCGCTCTTTTGATAAACTGTACAACCTATCACTTCTATTTGAAGCTTCTAAGTATCCTGTATATTTAGATAAATCCTTGAAATTCCCAAGGTAGGTCATCATGACCTACATTTTAGATGAAATACTCTGAGAACCCAAGATGATTCTAAGCCAACTAGTACCTGAGAGTTGGTCATGGTGACCTACTTATCACTTGTCATTCTCTGAGGACCCAAGATGCATCAAATAAATTGGTGATGATTCTCAGCCGATTAATACCTAAAATATTTTTAAAATTATAACCATAAAATTTCAAAAGTAGGTCACACAGTGACCTACTTTTCAGATGACAGGCTTTGAGGACCCAAGATGCGTCAACTGACAAAGTTTGATGATTCTAAGCCAATAAGTACCTGATATATTTAAGTAAAGTCATAAAATTTCAAAAATAAGTCACAGTTACCTCCTTTTCAGTCGACTAACTCTGTGGACCCAAGATGCATCAACTGACAAAGTTTGATGATTCTGAGCCAATTAGTACCTGAAATATTTAATTAAAGCCATAAATTTTCAAAAGTAGGTCATGGTGACCTACTTTTCAGTCGACCTACTCTAAAGACCCAAGATGCATCAACTGACAAAGTTTGATGATTTTGAGCCAATTAGTACCCGAAATATTTAATTATAGTCATATAAATTGAAAAAGTAGGTCATGGTGACCTACTTTTCAGTCAACCTACTCCGAGGAGCAAAGATGCATCAACTGACAAATTTTGATGATTCTAAGTCAAATAGTACCCGAAAATATTAAATACAGCCATAAAATTTCAAAAGTAGGTCACAGTGACCTTCTTTTCAGTCGACTAACTCTGTGGACCCAAGATACATCAACTGACAAGGTTTGATGATCATAGGCCTTAAATTGTTCAAAATATGCCTCTAGATCATTTTGAAAAAGAATGGCCGCAAAATTTAAAAAGTAGGTTTCCGTGACCTACTTCTGAGTCAACATGATATGAGGTCATTAGGTGCATCAACTGACAAGAATTGATGTTCCTACTCCTTATAGTAAGCAACATTTTAATAAAATGTAATTTTTGGTCAACTTTGAAATGACCTTGAGACCACGCCCTTTGCCCCAGGGTGATGCCTTGAATAATTTTTAATCTACAACATATCCTCATCCTTTTGTGTAAGTTTGGTGATAATCTGCCCAGTGGTTCTTGAGAAGAAGATTTTTTAGCAACAGTTCTTTTGTTTCCATTTTCCTAATTATTTCCCCTTGTTTAAGGGTCACAACCCTAGTTTTAGTACAAACAGGAGCCCTTGGGCCAAGGATACTCTGTGACAAATTTGACAATAATTGGCCAAGGGGTTCTTGAGTTATGGCCCATATTCTAAAAAGTTTACACACACCGCACAAATGGCCATAGCATTAGCTCTTTGAGCCTTTGGCTCAGAAGAGCTAAAAATATAATGATGAAATGATTATAGAGCTTTAAACTGCAATGCTTAAATGCAGTTATCTACTTCTGATAGCATAATGCTACCTCCAGTAGCATTGACCTAATTATAAAACAGTAAAGGTAGCATCAGGATAAGGAAAACTAGCATTAAATCAGCAAGCAAAAGAAGCATTCAAATCAGCATCAATACTCTAACAAAATTAGTTCCCTGCACTGTATGTCTGTTTTATTTACCTCAATGAAAATTTCCTCCACTTGTTTGTAATTACTGGCAGTTCCTGCCAAATTAAGTGCACAAACTCCCCACATAGTCTCTGACAGCTATTCTGGCATGTTACAATTTCTACCGGAAGAGATTCTAGGCAAATTTCATGTAGATATGCCAGAAGAAAGCCAAGAGTTTTGATGTGATGACATTCCAACTCAGAGCCCTGAAAATGACATACTATAAACAGTAAAAAAAAACTAGAAATATGTCCATAGGACATGAATGCCCTTTCAAGGGTATATTAGTAGTGCAACATGAAAATTTGTATTAGTGTATGAAATTTGATGAGAATATCTTGAATGGTTTCTTTAAAATTGAAATCTAAAAAATTGGATATACGAGGGTTGTCCGGTAAAATCGTGGACAAGTTGTCTAGATTGAAAAATAATCATCACTGCGTTCTAAAACTTTCAGTACTTTTAGTACATTTTTCCTCAATATACTTAGCAAATTTCTAATAGATATCTGCTCAAATAATCAAAATATGAGACTTTATGTTATGTGTGTTATCGTCTTATGGCGCACAGATAATAACATCAAAGTGTCTAAAGCAGCATCACGTTTTCTCTTTGCTAAATAAAAGTTGGATAAGCCCCACTTAAATTCGGGGTATTCATTGATGCACATACTTGATTTTCCCTTTATTCCTCAATAAACAGTTGAGGAACCAATCTCGCACACACATGGGACCTTCTGAAGATTTATTAGTTAGTTCTGGACAGTACTCTCACTATCATTCAACTACACAGGCTCTCTTATATCGATGGTCTACAGTTACAGCGTCTTTTGCTTTTGCCAGTAGCTGTTTGTGCATATGTTTTGTTCTACCCGGGGACCCGGTCAAAAAGCTTCCGCTTAGAAAACTCTCATTTCACTTGTATACTAAAGATCTAGTGATATTTTTACATTTTTTTTCTTCTGTAGTCATTTAAAGTTTCTTAGGGTGTCATTATTGCATCTAAACCAAACTGAACTGCTCTCCGGTGCGCCGTAACGTCACCAAATGTTGCCATTTTTGCGTTTACCACTTTCCCATTTCAAATGCTCGTGAAACTGCCAAAAATTAATGCAAATGCCTTGATATTTTACAAAAGACGAAATAATAGCAAGTGCATTAAGAGAGGTAAATTTTTACCCCAACCTTATCTCTTTAATACTTTTATTTCGAAATTATACTTCTGCATTCGCCGACGAAACCCTTTTTTTTTTATCGTGCGCCGTAGGACCGTATCATGTGCATATTCAAGCTTAATAAAATCTTTATTCTTATACATATCTTATCAAAAAAATTAAGATGCACTTAAATATGAAGAATAAACATTTGCTGAAAATTTCAGCTTAGTGCACCCATTATTTTTTGAGAAAAACGCTTTGTCCACGATTTTACCGAACAACCCTCGTAGATGATAAATTCTCACCAAATTATGTATAAAGTCATAAGCTTACATAAATATATCTTATCTTTAAAATTAAGCAAATATACCTTATCTTTAAAATTAAGCAAAATGCAAATTTAAGAAAAGTGAAGTCAAGGTCACAGGAAAGTTCAAGGTCAAACGTTTTTGATGCAGTTCCATAGTTCTCACAAATATGGATCAGCATATTAAGTTTGACAAAAATATTTTGAATGGTTTATTTAAAACTGAGCTAAACACTAATTTAAAATAAACGAAGTTAAGGTCAAAGGAAAGGTCAAGGTCAAAAAATGTTGATGCAGTTGAAAAGGTTACATTAGTATGTATTAGCATATTAAGTTTGATAAAAATATTATGAATGGTTTCTTTAAAACTGAATGAAACACAAATTGAGAAAAGTAGGTCAAGGTCAAAGGAAAGGTCATGGTCAAAAAATATTGATGCAGTTGAATAGCTTACATCAGTATGTATCAACATATGAAGTTTGATTACACTATCTTGAATGCTATCTTTAAAACTGAGCTAAAACTAAGTTAAACAAGAGGCCCATGGGCCACATCGCTCACCTGAGCACAGTGGATAGGCAAAAGCACAAATCAGTTCAGTATTGAAAAGATTCTGGGGGGGGGGGGGGGGGCGCTTGAATTTTAAACTACCTGATGATGCTTCCATGTCAAAATAACAAATGGTTTTGTTGTACTTGAGAAGATTTTAAAAAAATTTTCTGATATATTCCTTTGTAAAAATTTGATCCCCCCTTGTGGCTCCTCCCTATCCCAGGGGTCATCATTTGAACAAACTGGAATCTACACTACCTGAGGATGCTTCCATATCAATATGACTAAACATAGCTTTTCTGTTCTTGAGAAGAAATATTTTTTCTATATGTTCTTATGTAACATTCGATCCTCCATTGTGGCCCCGTCCTACTCTCGGGGGTCATCATTTGAACAAACTTGAATCTACACTACCTGAAGATGCTTCCATATCAATATGACTAAACATAGCTTTTCTGTTCTTGAGAAGAAATATTTTTTCTATGTGTTCTTATGTAAAATTTTCTATCCCCCTATTGGGCCCCACCCTACCCTCGGGGGTCATCATTTGAACAAAATTGAATTTACACTACCTGATGATGCTTCCATATCAAAATGACTAATCATGGCTTTGCAGTTCTTCATCAGAAGAAATCTTCCTATATATTTCTATTTCAGACTTTGATCCTCCATTGTGGCCCCACCCAACCCCAGGGGGGCAACATTTGAACAAACTTGACAGGGTTCGACACTAACGTTAGTCCGTTAGTCTCAGACTAATACATTTTCATTCGGACTAATAAAATCTGTGGCTAATTAGTCCGAGCGGACCAATAAAAATTTCTGGAAAACAATATGAATAAATTACCGATGTCCGATTCTCGACAACTTTACTGGAAAACCCCGCGTGTATTTTTAGATCTCTGAGTGATCGATATGAAGTAAAAAGTTTTTAGCGAACATGATTTAGTATGACACTTTATAGAAAGATGTTGGACGTTTTGGATATGTAATGTAAAGACAAAAAAAAAGAAAAAAAAAAAAGAACGAGATCGGGAATATGGTCGAACTTGCTGATTGCGATTTCAAATATATGCTTAGTTTGTTTATTTCAAAAAAAGTATAAAACATATATTAATTGTCAAGTTTAATTAATGTTAAAAAACATAGATGTATCTTTTTCTTTTTTTTGACGGACATGTAAAATCGCGTGCGGACTAGTAAAAGTACGGAAGCACTAGCCCAGCCGGACTAAAGCCTTAAAAAGTTAGTGTCGAACCCTGCTTGAATCTACACTACCTGAGTATACTTCCACATAAATATGATCAATCAGGGCTTTGCTGTTCTTGAGAAGAAGATTTTTAAAGATTTTTCCTATATATCTCTATGTAAAACTTTTATCCTCCTTTGGGGCCCCACCCTACCCCCAGGGGTCATGATTTGGACATACTTAAATCTATACTACCTTAGGATGCTTCCATATCAATATGATCAATTAGGGCTTTGCTGTTATTAAGAAGAAGATTTTTAAAAGATTTTTCCTATATATTTCTATGTAAAACTTTGATCCTCCATTGTGGCCCCGTCCTACTCCCGGGGGTCATGATTTGAACAAACTTGAATCTACACTACCTGAGGATGCTTCCATATAAATATGACCAATCATGGCTTTGCTGTTCTTGAGAAGAAGATTTTTAAAGGTTTTTCCCATATATTTCTATGTAAAACTTTGATCCTCCTTTGGGGCCCCGCCCTACCCCCAGGGGTCATGATTTGAACAAACTTGAATCTACACTACCTGAGGATGCTTCCATATAAATATGACTCATCATGGCTTTGCTGTTCTTGAGGAGAAGATTTTTAAAGATTTTTCCCATATATTTCTATGTAAAACTTTGATCCTCCATTGAAGCCCCGCCCTACCCCCGGGGGTCATGATTTGAACAAACTTGAATTTACACTACCTGAGGATGCTTCCATATAAATATGACTCATCATGGCTTTGCTGTTCTTGAGGAGAAGATTTTTAAAGATTTTTCCTATATATTTCTATGTAAAACTTTGATCCTCCATTGAAGCCCCGCCCTACCCCCGGGGGTCATGATTTGAACAAACTTGAATCTACACTACCTGAGGATGCTTCCATATAAATATGACTCATCATGGGTTTGCTGTTCTTGAGGAGAAGATTTTTAAAGATTTTTCCCATATATTTCTATGTAAAACTTTGATCCTCCATTGAAGCCCCGCCCTACCCCCGGGGGTCATGATTTGAACAAACTTGAATTTACACTACCTGAGGATGCTTCCATATAAATATGACTCATCATGGCTTTGCTGTTCTTGAGGAGAAGATTTTTAAAGATTTTTCCCATATATTTCTATGTAAAACTTTGATCCTCCATTGTGGCCCCGCCCTACCCCCGGGGGTCATGATTTGAACAAACTTGAATTTACACTACCTGAGGATGCTTCCATTTAAATATGACTCATCATGGCTTTGCTGTTCTTGAGGAGAAGATTTTTAAAGGTTTTTCCCATATATTTCTATGTAAAACTTTGATCCTCCATTGTGGCCCCGCCCTACCCCCGGGGGTCATGATTTGAACAAACTTGAATCTACACTACCTGAGGATGCTTCCATATAAATATGACTCATCATGGCTTTGCTGTTCTTGAGAAGAAGATTTGTAAAGGTTTTTCCCCATATATTTCTATGTAAAACTTTGATCCTCCATTGTGGCCCCGCCCTACCCCCGGGGGTCATGATTTGAACAAACTTGAATCTACACTACCTGAGGATGCTTCCACATGAGTTTCATCTTCCCTGGCTTTGTGGTTCTTGAGAAGAAGATTTTTAAAAGATGCTATTAATTTTTCACTAATTCTTTATTATCTCCCCTTGAAAGAGGGCGTGGCCCTTCATTTGAACAAACTTGAATCCCCTTCACCCAAGGATACTTTGTGGCAAGTTTGGTTGAAATTGGCCCAGTGGTTCTTGAGAAGAAGTCGAAAATGTGAAAAGTTTACAGACAGACGGACGGACAGACGGACTACAGACAAAATGTGATCAGAAAAGCTCACTTGAGCCTTCGGCTCAGGTGAGCTAAAAAGTGAGGTTAAGGTCAAAGGAAAGGTCAAGGTCAAAAAATGTTGCTGCAGTTGAATAACTTGCATCAGTATGTATCAACATATGAAGTTTGATTACACTATCATGAATGGTATCTTTAAAACTGAGCTAAACATTAATTTAAGAAAAGTGAGGTCAAGGTCAAAGGAAAGGTCAAGGTCAAAAAATGTTGATGCAGTTGCATAGCTCTCATTAATATCTATCAGTATATGAAGTTTTATAAAAATATCTTGTATAGTTTCTGAGAAACAGAGCTTTGAACAGAGCTAAATGAAAAGCACGACAGAAAGACAGATGGAAGGACGGAAGAAGGACATGATAAACACTATATGCCCCGGCCATATTCATGGCGGGGCATAAAAAAAATCCACTCTTAGATGCTATACAACAATTTTGGTTGAAATTGTATGGTTCAGCAATTAGATCAAATCCCATTTTGTAAAATCCTAGGTGTAAACTTTTAAGTACATCCCTTGTTTGTGGAGTTACGACTGAACAATCGGACAGACATGTCCTAATTTGGAAATGATCACAACTTATAAAATGTGAAATTGGGGGGGGGGGGGGGGGGAATCATTACTTACAAAATGTGAAATGATTATGCATTTGTGCATTTTTAAAATATAGGTTTTTGCAAAACACACTTAACTTGATGCAATATGACTGAACTTCTTTCTTAAACTCAATATACATGAATTTAGTATCAGGGATAGGTTTCAGACATGATTCTGAAGTCAAATGAAAAAAGCGGATTTATAGACAATCTCAAATAGGCCAGGGGTCTTTGGGCCACCTAGGCCCCCATAAGCTCTGGGGTAAATGGTGCAAAACCCTGCATTCTGAGCATTTCCTGGCATTTAGTTTTCACTTTGAAATTATCTTCTTTTTAAGGAAAATTTTTTACAAATGTTACTTATTACCAACATTTTACCATAGTCTTTGACACTTTTGTTTACGTCATTCACGTCTTCTTTCATCTGTTATTTCATCAATGTCATCTGTTACAACAATTGACATTTCCAATAAATCTTTCAACAACTGGCTGAATAAATACTTCGAATGACATCTTTAACAATTTTGATTCTCTAGACTTCACATTGTACAATTTTCGCATCCATTACCTCGATGGATGCTTCTAGTAAAACTTCAAGGATTGGTTAAATTAATGTTTCTAAAATCCAAGAACCAATGTAATTGCACGTTACAATAATCAATAAAGTAGGAATAAATTGAAGCAAAAACAGACTAAATAGGTATAATCGGAAAATATTGAGATACCGTATATACTCGCCTATAAGTTGATTTTTTGGGAGTTAAACTTTGTTCCAAAACTCTTTATCCGACTTATATGCGAGTTATAAAAAGATTGGTTATTTTAGTGTGTCAAACCCTTTAATTTAAGCTTAAAAAGTACAACTGACTTATAACGGACCGACTTATAGACGAGTATATACGGTACTTAAAAAAGCGGAATACGAATTTTAAAGCAAACTGATCAAATCGGAATAGAGAGTGGAAAAAAAAAAACGTGCCTGAAGTTTGAGTGTGTCTATGGTTTTTAATATATCATGAATTTGAGTTTCAACTTCAACTTCAAAAACCATCTATACTCAAACATCTCTCTTTTTTTTTTTTTTTTTTAATCCTGTTAAGTTTGAGATATTGAGGATTGACTGGACATTTACTAAAAGCTCACATTATGTATAAAAGTTATGTTGTCGCGTACAAAAAAGAAATGGAAGTAATTTACCTGTTCAGTCACAAGTTTCCAAATTCTTATAAGCAGTGCAGAGTGCATCTCTTTTATTTCTTTCAGAATGGTAAAGAAGTCTTGTGGCCATGACACAGTATCTGTATTGTTCTTAACTGTCAGACAAGCTGATGCTAAAAACTCCAGAAGTTGATCCACGACCTAATGAATCCCAAAATAGTAAGAATCTTGTACATACAGAGTTTGGAAAAATCATCAATATGTATCAGCATATGAAGTTTGATAAAAATATCTTGAATAGTTTCTTTGAAACTGATCTAAACACAAAGTGTGATGGAAGTACAGAGAGATTGAAGATGGAAGATGGACATGACAAGCACTATATGCCCTGGCCATATTCATGGCGGGGCATAAAGAATTTCATTTTATATTTCTTACCTTTATATTTGGCAGAGGGATATCTGCAGCATCTGTGTTCAGGAGGAGGCAGTCATTACAGAGGGCATTACTGTCCTCTGAGTACAAACAAGATAATAACTTCTCCCTCACTAACGAACACTGTTCAATCACTGCAACAAGAAAATTGTCCTCAATGCATAGTGCTAATAACTTTTTTCTCATTAAAGTGACTCAGGTGACCTAACAAGAAAATTGGGCAGCTTATAACTTCTTGCTCACTAAAGAATACTGTCTAACTCACTACCAAAAAAAAAATGTCCTCAATGTTTTGGGCATCTAATAAGTTCTTTCTAAGAACAGTGTTCAATTCATACAAGAAGAAAATTCATTTATTTCTGCCCCATACTTTAACAGGTTTGTAAACATTCCCATTAAGTAGGTGTTTCTTAATATATTGAGAACTTCAAAACTGACAGAGTATTAAAGGGCCCTGCAATGTGTCTTTCCCAGAAATCTTGTGCCTTTATCCTTGACCATTAAGTGGCCTCAAAATCTACAGCTGTCTCTGAACTTAGCAGTGATAGTTACATTGCCTCAGCTTGTAGAAAAATGAATGGAGCCTGAAAGTGCACTGTGTAAAAAGTCCATTCAATTGCTGTATACTTTCAAGTTTGGCATTTCCTTTATGAAATTCAAGGTCAGAATACACATTTAGCTAAATTCCAGCATAACCTACTTCTATTGTGGGGATTTTCCTGTATGGCTTTAAGAAGCTGGTCCAGTCTCATCTGTAACTGTTCTGTCTCAGTTAATTCCATGTCCATTTCCTCTTCCTCATCCAGAAATACCCCTGATGAAAGAAACCGGCTCCACGGTTAGCAAGTCATTTAATTAACAAGTGTTATTCACAACAGGACATCAAAATGTATGTACTATAAACCAACTATTATTCTTGACAACTTTTATTCATGAATCATCAGTTTGAACTTTATCCATCCATTTCTAATTAACTAAATATTTAACGTAAATCCACAACTATAAATATGATTCACATTGAGAAATAGATCCCAAAACTCTCATGGGTATTTCTCGCATGTAAATAAAGTTAAAATTCAGTATACATGAATAAACAGATTTTTGATGACTTTTTAGATACAGTTTCCTTTTCCAATTCTCTGCCTGACATACCTTCCAAAAGCTTGGATGATTCTGCCTTACAAGCTGTTATGTAGTTGTTATATAGTGTCAATGGAATTTTCTCCACTCTGTCCAAAAGAAACCAAGATCATTTCAAACGTGTGAGTGTTCTAATTTCATTCCACTTTCTACTTGCTCCCGCTGACTTTTTTTCCATCAATGCCAACAATTTTTCTATTAATAATTTACTGCTGCATTTCAGTCAGAATATCAATAAACATACAATATAATTAAACTGCACTTACAATTTTAATGTATCAATGAACTTCATTCTCAGATCTGGAATGTCTGGGAGCTACATAATAATATAACAGACAAAAATTATTCATCTACATTTATATAGCTATACATTATGTGAATCAATCTCAAAGCTAACTATTTTTTGGCATTTTCTATATATTGACAAGAGATAAACTTACAGCCCTAGGCTTTAGGAGGACAGGTAAAAATTTCCCAACATAGTAAGGTTTCCTAAATATGCTGAGAAAAATAAAAATAAAACAAGGTCAGGGATGAAAGAAAGATACCTTGGTTAATACTTTTACCTAGAAGAAATTTAATATAAACTTAGTATTTAAGTAATTACACATCATGCTGTTTCAAAAAGTTTTCCTTTGCTACAATGTAGGTAAAACCAGAAATATGTCCATAGGATATGAATGCTCTGCTCAGGGCACATTAATAATGCAACATGAAAATTTGTATAGTGTATGAAGTCTGATGAAAATATCTTAATAGTTTTAAAGAAACTGAGTTTTATACACAATAACTAGTAATGTCAAAGGTCATTGGGAAGGTCAAGGAAAAAACAAGATGTGTTTGTGAAACATTGATGGTCCCGTATGGCAGCTCATGGCAAAGGTTAAAGTTTCACAAATGCACGTCAAACTCCAAAGTCAAGAGATAAAAATGTTGGTACCCAAAGAAAGTTTTTGTCACAAGGAATTCACCTTTTAAATATGAAACCCCTGGCACCAACCATTCAAAAGTTATGGCCAAGGTTAAAGTCTTGCCATAAGGAATACACATGTGAAATATAAAAACCCTAGCACCAACTATTAAAAAGTAATGACCAAGGTTAAAGTTTTTCAAAGGTAGATCAAACTCCAAGGTCAAGGATAATAAGTCAAAATTGTTGGTACCCAAGGAAAGGTCTTGTCACAAGGAATAAACATAGTAAATATAAAAGTCTTAGCACCAATTGTCCAAAAGTTATGGCCGAGGTTCCAAGTTTTTTAAAAAAAAGGTCAAACTCCAAGGTCAAGATCAAAGGGTCAAAACTTTTGGTACCAAAGGAAAGGTTTCATCACAAGAAAAAAATACGTGAAGTATGAAAGCCATAGCTCCAAATAATGAGAAGTTATGAGTGAGACTAAAGTTTTTGTCCACAAAGAGACAGTCAGAGAGCAAAAACTATATGCCCCCGAATCTTGGATTGTTCAGGAATTCTCAACAAATTAGGTATGTGCATAAGCTCACAATAAAATATATTGAATAGTTTCTTTGAAACTGAGCTAAATGCAAATTTGAGAAAAGTGAGGCCTGGGTCAAAGGGAAGGTCAAGGTAAAAAAAATTTGATACGGTTCAATAGAACTTAATACAAGAGGCCCAAGGGCCTTGAATCGCTCTTCTGATAAACTGTGCAACCTATCACTTCTATTTGAAGCCTCTAAGTATCCTGTATATTTAGATAAACCCTTGAAATTCCAATTCACTCTCTGAGAACCCAAGATGATTCTAAGCCAATTCATACCTGAGAGTTGGTCATGGTGACCTACTTATCACTTGTCATTCTCTGAGGACTCATCAACTAACTTTGATGATTCTAAGCCAATTAATACCTAAAATATTTTTTAAAATTATAACCATAAAATTTTATAAGTAGGTCAAAGTGACCTACTTTTCAGTTGTTGTACTCCAAGGACCCAAGATGCATCAACTGACAAAGTTTGATGATTCTAAGCCAATTAGTACCTGAAATATTTCATTAAAGCCATAAATTTTCAAAAGTAGGTCACGGTGACCTACTTTTCAGCTAAATACTCAGAGGACCCAAGATGCATCAACTGACAAAGTTTGATGATTCTAAGCCAGTTAGTACCTGAAATATTCAATTATAGTCATATAAATTGAAAAGTAGGTCACAGTGACCTACTTTTCAGTTGACATTTTTTGAGGACTCAAAATGCACCAACTTATAAAGTTTTATGATCATAGGCCTTAAAATGTCCAAACTATGTCTCTTAAACGCTTTGAAATCGAATGCCTGCAAAGTTCAAATGAGTTCACTGTGACCTACTTTTTAATAAATATGTTTTATGGGCCCAAGATGCATCATCTTACAAGATTTAATGATTCTAAACCTCTCGGTATTTGAATTAATTACCTTAATTGTTTTGAAAAAGATTAGCCATAAAATTCAAAAAGTAGGTCAAGCTGACGTACTTCGAGGACCCAAGATACATCAACTGACAAAGTTTGATAATCACAAGACTTAAATTGTTCAAAATATGCTTCTAAATCATTTTGAAAAAGAATGGCCGCAAAATTTAAAAAGTAGGTCACCGTGACCTACTTTTGAGTCAACATGATATGAGGTCCTTAGATGCATTAACTGACAAGATTTGATGATAAGTAAAATATCAACATTTTAAAAAAATGTAATTTCTGGTCAACTTTGAAGTGACCTTGAGACCACACCCTATGCCCCAGGGTGATGCCTTGAACAATTTTTAATCTAAAACATATCCTCATCCTCTTGTGTAAGTTTAGTGATAATCTACCCAGTGGTTCTTGAGAAGATGATTTTTTAGCAACTAGTACTTTTGTTTCTATTTTCCTAATTATCTCCCCTTGTTTAAGGGTCACAACCCTAGTTTTAATTTAAAAGGGAGCCCTTGGGCCAAGGGTACCTTGTGACAGATTTGACAATAATTGGCCAAGGGGTTCTTGAGTTATGGCCCATATTCTAAAAAGTTTACGCACACCGCACAAATGGCCATAGCATTAGCTCTTTGAGCCTTTGGCTCAGAAGAGCTAAAAATGCTTTAGCATATAAGGTTTGATAAAATATTTTTTCTTTAAAGCTGAGCTAAACACATTCTTTTTAAACATAGGTAATCAGAGATTACAGATCTCACCTTAACGAATGTTGTCTTTAAGTAAGGCAAAGTCACGCACTAAACTAATAATCTAGTAGTGTGCATCCCTAGATGTAACATTTATGCAATTTTGGTCTGATAGGGTTTGCAGTTACTTGGGAATGGACTAACCTAAAACTTTTAACTAGTCACTCATCCAGAAAATGAAAGTCAGATCCAGCATCTGAACCAAGTTTGAGAGTGTGCATCCTCAGATGCATCATCCATGCAAGTTTGGTTCAGATAGCCCTTATAGTTTCTTGGTAATGGATCTGCTCCAAAAACTTAAACCTGGTAACCCATCTGGAAAATGAAGGTAAGATCCATCATCCAAAACAAGTCAGGTGGTGTGCATCCTTAGATGTATCATCTATGCAAGTTTGGTTAACATAGGGCTTATAGATACTTGGAAATGGGGCCTGCTCCGAAAACTTGAAGTTGGTCACTCATCCGGAAAATGTAGGTCAGATCTAGCATCTGAAGCAAGTCTCTAGTGTGCATTCTTAGATCTATCATCCATGCAAGTTTGATCAAAATAGGACTTACAGTTACTTGGAAATGAGACCTGCTCCAAAAATTTAACCTGCTCCAAAAACATTACTCTGGTCATTCTTTGGCTGAAATTGCAGCATCTGAAACCTTGACTGGTACAATGAAACATACTAGAAGCATCCTCTATGCATGATTAATATAGGGCACAGAAGAATCTGCTCCAAAAAATCTGGGACGCTGATACCAAGGGTATTACATACATGTAAGATCCCCCCACTTTGTTGAGGTGAGCTGAAAATGAGGTCAAGGTCAAAGGAAAGGTCCAGGTCAAATATTTTGATGCAGTAAAATAGCTTTCATCAAAATGTATTAGCATATAAAGTTTGATCAAAATACTTTGAAAAGTTTCTTTGAAACTGAGTATACACATTTTTTTTTAAAAGAGAGGTCAAGGTAACATGAAAAGTCAAGGTAAAAAAATGTTGATGAAGTTCAATAGCTCTCAACAATATTATGGACATGACAAATACTAAAGGCCCTTGGACCTTAGAGAATGATACTGTGAACAGGGTTCAAGCACATAGGTTAGTCCATTAGACTGAACAGACTTAAAACTTCACAAAAGAAGTTGTTCGCACATAATTTGACAAATTTTAGTCCTGCTTTCTTCATATGACTAAATAGTCATCCTTTATATTGAAATATGTTAATTTTTTACCCTTCTTTGGGATCATTTTCTCCATCATTTGAACATTTTTATATCTATACAACATTAATTTGATCTTTGTATGAACATGATATATCATGAACCATTTTTTGGAAACTAAGTTAATTGCAAAAAGAGGAATAAATGGGTCTAGACTGTAGGAAATGTCAAGGTCAGGAAATTAAAACACAATTGATTAGCTACCACAAACATGTACAAGTGCAATAGTTTTGATAAAAATACCTTCAATAGTTGCTTTGATACTGGGCTAAACACAAAAAAGGGAACAGTGAGGTCAAGGTCAACAAGAAGGTCAATGCTATATATAATGTCATAGTAAAATAGCTTAGATAAATACGCATCAGTGTTAGAGTTTTGATAAAAATGTCTGTAATGATTGCTTTGAAACTGAGCTACACACAAAATATAAATAGCAAGGTCAAGGTCACATGGAAGGTCAAGGTCAGAAAATTCTGCCATAGTTGAATAGCTCTCATCAATATGTATCATCGCATGAATATCTTGAACTTTGAAAGTGAGCTAACCGCAAAGTGTGACGGATGGACAGACGGAAGGATGGAGATGACAAAAACTATATGACCCCGCCAAATTTATGGTGGGGCATAAATAACAGTACAATAATGTAAGGTTTTCTCAAGATCCCATTACCTAGCTTCCATTATGGATGTTGGGATTTTTTTGGTGGACTCAAACAAAACCAATGCCTTCTGGATATCTTCTTCTATCTGTTCATTCATCTGCAATATCACCTTAACCTTCATTATACAGGAATAAAAAATACATACTTCACATCTAATTCACAATTTCAGTAATTTTGCATCTTAAATGTCAATGTTTTTTTAATCAGCACAGAATGAGCCAAAATATACATCATAGCCATTTCATGGATTTAATATTCATCAGCACAACACAAGGCCGATTGGCCTTAGCAGTCACAATGCAAGTTTGGATTTTTTTTCCAGGGCCACAATATGCATTTTTTTTTATTATTTACCCCATTGGAAAACTTCAATGCATCTATTTTTTTTTTGCCCAAAGGGCAATAATTCAGAAAATTTTGAACTAACACTAAATGAGGATAATTTCACAGTGATTTGAAAATTTGAACCCTTGATTTGGGGATGAATTAATACCATGTAAAAAGAATTGAACCCCCCTGCCTTGATTGCACTGCACTGCATAACTAGAGGTATTGTGAACAAGCTCACAAAATGATACCCCTGGCTTTTTTCAAAGTGTCAAATCAAATTCAAATGTGACCTTGAACTTGCCAAAAACACCTTGCTTAAAAAATGACACATCATCTGGTAATAGGTAATCTTTTAGTGAAATATGGACATCAAGTGTTTCTCAAGGAAATTCTTGAAAGTCATGAATTTTATTTTTTATTCCAGTGACCTTGAACTTGCCAGAATGACCTTGGGTCCAAGTTATGATGACTCTCTAACCTCGGAACTTGGACATTTCCAGAAAAGCTTCAGCAAGATTTTCTGATTTCATGTAGTGTGGGTAAACCAAAGACTGGGAAATTTGACAATGTTTTAATAAAATCATAAGAGCTATTTATAGTGCTGAGTCATTTAGATTGGCTGTGATACCTAAGCGATTCTATAAGTTTAACACAATGTCTGGTTGTTAGGATGCCGTCGTTTCATTACACGATTCATCGGAATGTAGAAAATGCAAGAGAAAAGAGAAAGAAGCAGGAAATATGTGATTTCTACACTCAATGTTGAAGCATCATTAATTAAAAGTTGCTAGTTTTGAAATTAAAAAAAAAAAAAAATCCCGCATCTGTTTTTTTTTTAAGTAAAAAGGAAAAAAAAACCTCTCTCCCGCATTTATTTTTGAGAAAACTGGCCTGAGAACCAAGCTATAAATATTTTTTAGGCCTTGCAGGGATTAATTATCAAATGGGAATAATAAAATGGGAATAACTTCTCTCAAAGCAGAAAAAAAATTTCCACATATTATTAATTGAGTCCTGCTCTAGCTTCAGAATCCTGATCCAGGGGCCATGAATTTAACAGTTTTGGAAGAGGCACCCATGCTTATCATAGCCATGCACTTAGTTTTTCTGCTTAGTACCCATATGAGTTTTTCTGCTTAGTACCCATATGAAAAGAAGAAAATTTTCAAAGAATTAATGCAATTTCACTATATGATTAAAAGAGCCCTGCCCCAACACAAAACAAACTGACCCAGGGACCATGAATTTCACAAATATAAACGAGGCACCAGTGTAGCATAATGTTTTGATTCTGCAAAATATTGCACCCACTGTCTATCCTAACAATGAATTTAGTTTGTCTGCTTAGTACCCAGGAGCAGAGAACACTTTCAAAGAATTAAGGCATATGATCAATATAGCCCCACCCTAACTATCCTGATTCAATGGCCATGAATTTCATAATTTTGGAAGAGGCACCCATGCTCCTCATAACAATGCACTAAGTTGTCTGCAAAATATACATGGGGAAGAAGAAGACTTTTACAGAATTTATGCATTATCATTAATTGACCAATAAAGCCCCACCAGAATTTCTGTCCCTGGGGCCATGAATTTTAAAGTTTTGGTTAAGGACTCTATACATATAACAATCATGATAACAGTTTGACTGCTTGATATCCAGGAGTAAAGAAGATTTTTGAAGATTAAATTAATGATGGTTGTTTTGGCCCCACCCCTCAGGCACCAGGAGTGCCAAGACCATAAAACTCGCACGTTTTATTTCTCTTTGCTCATAAATATTATGTACTAAAATTGGCTGAAATTGGTTGAGTGGTTCCAGGGAAGAAGCTAAAAATATTCAAAAGTTTAAGACCAACAGACAATAACGGACAAAAGAGAAAGCAATAGGTCACCTCAATGACTCAGGTGTCCTGAAAATGGCAACTGATAGATACAATGTCATTGGTGCACTGATTAAGATCTAAAATGTAAAGGATGAAAACTGTTTGTAGAGTATGAATTACTGGAAAGATATTAAATCTCAAAACATTTAAATCTCTTAGGAAATCTTTAGAGCTGTCAGTATAGTCTCAAAATAATGTACACTGTAAAAAGAATGTAAAAACCTTTTTCCTGCCTCCTTGATCTTTATCTTCAGATTCTGCATCCAAAGGTTGCTGAAATGATAAAAAACAACAAGTGTATGTACAAAGTACCATATTTCAGATAATGAACATTTTTATCAATTAAATGCATTCTCATGTACATTGAGATGACATATTACCTTTAAATCTGCTAGTCTGGTTTTTGCTAACATGATGTAGTCTGTGAAGAGCTCTCTACACTTTGGAGGTACAAAAGGTGGTCTTACTATGTGGGCCTTATAAAAGAAAAAAAAAAACGTATGAACGCATTTGCTTAATTTATGAGTGGACATCTGTTTTGGGCAAAGCTTTATGTAGTCTAAATTCATATAAATATATGGTAATCTGTTTGCTTCCTGTTCCCTAGCATACAATTGGGCAGTTATTCAAAACTGTTAGTAGCTTCTGCCCTGCTTTGTTGGATCATTTCTTTTGAGTGTGTTTTTGTGTCTGTAAGCTTTTAACTGTATCCTGCACACATGAAACCATGATGTGCAGAACTGATGTGAATTACTGAAAATGATATACATTTTGATATATTATTAAACAAGAGGCCCAAGGCCCTGAAATCGCTCTTCTGATAAACTGTACAACCTATCACGTCTATTTGAAGCCTCTAAGTATCCTGCATATTTAGATAAACCCTTGAAATTCCAATTCACACTCTGAGAACCCATGATGATTGTAAGCCATTAGTACCTGAGAATTGGTCATGGTGACCTACTTATCACTTGTCATTCTCTGAGGACCTATCAACTAAGTTTGATGATTCTAAGCCAATTAATACCTAAAATATTTTTTAAAATTATAACCATAAAATTTTATAAGTAGGTCAAAGTGACCTACTTTTCAGTTGTTGTACTCCAAGGACCAAAGATGCATCAACTGACAAAGTATGATGATTCTAAGCCAATTAGTACCTGAAATATTTCATTGAAGCCATAAATTTTCAAAAGTAGGTCACAGTGACCTACTTTTCAGTTGTACTCCGAGGACCAAATATACATCGACTGACAAATTTTGATGATTCTAAGCCAATTAGAACCCAAAATATTTAATTAAAGCCATAAATTTTCAAAAGTAAGTCATGGTGACCTACTTTTCAGTCAACCTACCCAGAGGACCCAAGATGCATCAACTGACAAATTTTGATGATTCTAAGCCAAATAGTACCCGAAAATATTAAATACAGCTATAAAATTTCAAAAGTAGGTCACTGTGACCTACTTTTCAGTTGTTGTACTCCAAGGACCAAAGATCATCAACTGACAAAGTTTAATGATTCTAAGCCAAAAAGTACCTGAAAAAATTTAATTAAAGCCAAAAATTTTCAAAAGTAGGTCACAGTGACCTACTTTCCAGTTGTTGTACTCAAAGGACCCAAGATGCATCAACTGACAAAGTTTGATGATTCTTATAAAGTTTTATGATCATAGGCCTTAAAATGTCCAAATTATGTCTCTTAAACGCTTTGAAATCGAATGCCTGCAAAGTTCAAATGAGTTCACTGTGACCTACTTTTTAATAAATATGTTTTATTGCCCCAAGATGCATCATCTTACAAGATTTAATGATTCTTATCCTCTCGGTATTCGAATAAATGACCTTAATTGATTTGAAAAAGATTTAGCCATAACATTCAAAAAGTAGGTCAAGCTGACCTACTTTTTAGTTGACGTACTTTGAGGACCCAAGATACATCAACTGACAAAGTTTGATGATCATAGGCCTTAAATTGTTCAAAATATGCTTCTAAATCATTTTGAAAAAGAATGGCCGCAAAATTTAAAAGTAGGTCACCGTGACCTACTTTTGAGTCAACATGATATGAGGTCCTTAGATGCATTAACTGACAAGATTTGATGATCCTAGTCCTTATAGTAAGCAAAATATCAACATTTTAATAAAATGTAATTTTTGGTCAACTTTGAAGTGACCTTGAGACCACGCCCTTTGCCCCAGGCAGGGCTAGACAAAAAGCATTGCCCGACGCCCGGGACAACCAATTTTGTTTGGCAGGCAAGTTATTTGATAACTGGTACCTGCCTGCAGACAAGTGCTTTTCCAGTTAACAAAAAATCATATACTCAAATGTTGTTCTGTTTTACCGCTGCTAAAATATAATGAATCACATCAAAGTATCTGTTTTCGATGCAGTTGACCACTACATCGAATACTAGGTAGGAACTCCTCTAGAATTACCCATTCATGTCTTGATAAAATATAAATGAGAAGTAAAACATGGCAGTTATCAATGTCATGTCAAAAAAGTTGAAGAGGATTTTGGACCTTTGAATTGTCAAAATGTAGAACTTGTGCCGTAAAAATACACGATACAAACAATCTCGTTGTTATTTTAAAAATTGGAGGTATTGACCGGCGAACACACACAGTCATGAAGTTGAACCCTTAGTCGACATTCGGGAGTGTTTTTCATAATAAAAGAATGAAGATACAGGTGTATTATTTTCATTTAAAAAATATAGAGAAATGTATAAGTGCATTTTCGTGTGCATACATTGACATGTACATGTACTTTAAAATTTAAATTTAATAATCAATGCACAGCACAGACACTCAGTGGAAGAGTTAAGTGATTGTGGGTCAAAGTTGGTCCTAAATGTAATGAAAATGTTTTAGTTTTTAAAGAAAAAGGTGGGACAAGCATATTTTTTGGTAGGACAAGTAATTTTACGATGGTAACCTGCCCAAAGACAAGTTCTGAAAATTTCTATTTGTCTACCCCTGCCCAGGGTGATGCCTTGAACAATTTTTAATCTACAACATATCCTCATCCTTTTGTTTAAGTTTGGTGATAATCTGCCAGTGGTTCTTGAGAAGATTTTTTAGCAACCAGTACTTTTGGTTTTATTTTCCTAATTATCTCCCCTTGTTTAAGGGTCACAACCCTAGTTTTAGTACAAAAGGGAGCCCTAGGGCCAAGGATACCCTGTGACAAATTTGACAATAATTGGCCAAGGGGTTCTTGAGTCATGGCCCATATTCTAAAAAGTTTACGCACACCGCACAAACGGCCATAGCATTAGCTCTTTAAGCCTTTGGCTCAGAAGAGCTAAAAATGACTGCTAAACAGAGAGTTTGTATCTGATCTATGCATATTAAGGAGAAATATGACTTTAGTCCTACAAACAAGAGGCCCAAGGGCCTTAAGGTCACCTGAGTAAAATACAACACTGTAAAAATTCATAGAAGTATAATATAAAACAAAATAAACTTAAACATGAACCAATGTTGTTAGGTGAATGGCAAAGAAAATAACTTACAAATTAATACAGCTAGCTCTCAGGGTCTTTTGAGGGTTTGTAAGGGGCAAAAATTAGGCCCCATTCCCAATGCTATAAAGAAGGTACAGTTGAACTTCAGTATCCGAACACTGACATCTCAAATACCATGGATATTTCAAAGTTATTTGGAAGTCCCAACTACTTATTCTTCAAGTATTTTACCCTCCATATCTTGAATCCTTGGGTATCTCGAAGTTTTTTCTCAGTCCCATGGAGTTCAACATTCATATAATTATATATATAATTATATAACGTTCATATAATTGTTCCAGGCCCACCAGATTACAATTTTTGCCTCAAAATTGTTAATCAAAGCTATTTTTTTTTCAAATTTAAAGTCAAAAGGAGTCAATTTATACCTGCTTTTTGCACTGGTAAGATTTTTTTCCCTTACTTCTTTGTATGAATCTCCCTCCCCAATTTAAGCAAAGTCGCTATTTTTTTCATAATGGAAATGCCCTGCACCAGAACACTTGACCAAATGGATTAGGATTTTATAAATCTGGTAAAAATACCCTTGCTTATTACAACTTTGTACTCTATTTGCCTCTTAGATGCCCAAGAGCAGTGCAGCAATTTTTCAAGGAAATAATACATTTTCACTATAGATTCAACACAGCCTCACCCTAAAACAAGAATCCCTGACCCAGGGGCCTTGAAATTCACAATTTTAGAAGAAGCACCCTTGCTCATCATAACCATGCAATTAGTACATTTGCTAAATACCCAGGGGCAGAGCCCACCAGATTACAATTTTTGCCTCAAAATTGTTAATCAAAGCTATTTTTTCAAATTCAAAGTCAAAAAGAGTCAATTTATTCCTGCTGTATGCACTGTATTGATTTTTTTCTTACTTCTTTGTATGAAACTTTTTCTCAATTTCAAAGAAATAATGCATTTTTAGCACATATTCAACAGAGCCTGTCCTAATATCAGAATCCCTGACCCAGAAGCTATGAATTTAACATTAGAAGAGGAATCCTTGCTCATCATAGCCAAGCATTTAGTTTGACTGCTAAATACACAGGGGTATAGAAGAAGATTTTCAAAGAATTAATGCAATTTAACTATCTGATATATAGAGCCCTGCCCTAACACCAGAGCCCCTAACCAAGGAACTATGAATCTCACAATTGTGGAAAAGGCACCTTTTTTGTCATAACTTTGCACTTAAGTTGGTTGCTTAATACCCAGGAGCAGAGAAGAAAATTTCCAAAGAATTAATGTATTTTCACTTTATAATCAATAGAGCCCAGCCCTTATACCAGAACCCCTGACCCTGAGGCCATGAAATAATGCAATTACACTGTATAATCAATACAGCCCCTCCAATAAAAGCTCCTGACCCTGGGGCCACAAATTTAAACTAGAACTGTCCGAAAGGGACAAATACCCCCCGCTGGGTTTTTCAGAGAAGGTACCAAATCACTAATGTTTTCTAGATGTGAGAGGTGTTCACAATTTGCTTTAACATTTAGAGTGAAAATTTAATTACTCATTATATTTTTTTTAATGAATGAAATTAAGGTGCAGCCTAATAAAACATCAATACTAATAATTACAGTGTTTTTTTATTACATTGAAGAAATAGTTTGCAACTATCTGTCATCTTTGTGAGACATGACACTCTGCAAATTGATTGTTGAAAAAAAAATATCATGATAATTAATTATACAAAATCAAATTGATCTTAATACCTTTATATCAAACTCATTCTAAAAATAAAAGGCTGGTTCCAGTAACTATGTATTTTGACAAACATAAATTACAATTAAGAGACTTAGACAACAGAGATCTTTATTTCTTTCTGCCCAATTCCCAGGAGATATAGATAAGACCTGCTTGATCAGAGATGCCCTAACAGCTTCCCACACTGAACTCATTAATTAATCTTTAACTGGATGCATGTCCACTCATTACTCCCAAGGGACAAATGGATTTACACTATCTGCTGTGTAATGTAAAAACTGTTTTTAATACCTGGTGATGTTTTTTTTTCAGTTTTAATGAGTAGTTTTAAGCTGTAGTTCACATTTTTGTACACTTCAGATGTTCTAGATTCTATGTCTCAAACCTTAGACATTTATAAACCCATAATGACTAAGTCAATAAAAATGAAAAAAAAAAACATCTGTAAAATGCAGAAAAATTATCAAATAATGTTGAAAATACCAGGTGTACATCTTCATACGGTAAATAATGAGTGTACAAATTTTCATACAAATCTATGCAATAGCCTCTGAGAACAGGTCCAGACAAAACCACACAATAAAAATGAAAAAAAGACCTGTAAAATGCAGAAAAATTATCCAATCATGATGAAAAAACCAGGTGCACACCTTCATATGGCAAAGAATAAGTGTACAAATTTTCAGACAAATCCTTGCAATAGTTTCCAAGAAACGACCTGGACAAAATCTCGTCTACAGACAGACGGACATGGTGATTCCAATATACCCCCCCTAAACTTCGTTTGCGGGGGGTATAAAAATTTGGAAGAGGCATCCTTGTTTATTATAACCAAGTGCTTAGTTTATCTGCTATATACTCTGGAGCAGAGGAAGATATTTGGGGAAATGATGCATTTTCACTTTAAAATCAATTGACCCCCCCCCCCCCCCTCCTAGAACCCCTGACCCTTGGGCCACAAATTTCACAATTTGGAAGAGGCATCATCATATTGCATCTATGTAGTTTATTGCCTTATCTGCTTAATACACAGGGAGAGAGAAGAAGATTTTTAAAGAGTTTATGCATTTTCACCATTTGAACATTAGAGTATGATCTGAACTCAAGAACCCTTGAATTTTCTGCCATGAATTTCACAAATTTAGGTATTAACTCAATGCTTATTACAATCATGGCAAGAGTTCAACTGCTTGATGTCCAGGAGTAAAGAAGAAGATTTTTAAAGATTGCATTAATTTTGATGGTTTTAGCCCCAGCCCTCAAGTCCCAGGGGGACAGGGACCACCAATTTCATCATTTTTGTTCCCATTCACTAACAAATGCTATGTGCCAAAATTGGTTCAGTGGTTCCAGAGAAGAAGTTAAAAATGTTATAATGTTAACAAATGACGCATGAAGATGGACAAAAACAGATAGCAATAGGTCACCTGAGTAACTCAGGTGATGTAAAAATTGTCAAAATAATGTATCACGAGTTTTTACTTCTTATCTTAGGTTAGATACATTTTGTAAGTGTCACAGCATACTTTTAAATGCAATGAAGACTCAAATGGCACCATATCTGTGAGAAACTTAATGAGACACGTAAAAGTCTTTCTGCTTCCACCAGGATTCTGAGCCGACTCCGAAAACATTTTCTACAAAAATAAAATCACACAATTATACTTACAACATACTTTAAGAATTACAATCACAGACAAAGTAAGACATTTTAAGAGTGCATACTTCGTCATTAGCTGTAGACTTGCTACCTTTGACATTTTAGAATTGTTAATATTAACTTTCATTGTCTGGTGATTCCCTAAGGGTGCAACGATAAACCGTTTGACAGTATATCGCGGTATATTTTTCCACGGTTCAATTCACGATACGCTAAACTGATATCGCAGTTCAGTTCAATCGGTGCAGAATTATCTGTTTTATTTCCTTTTTTACTATTTCAAAATGGCTTCCGCGCAAAACGTGACGTCGCCGATAACGCATTTACTCATCTCCAGCATCTTACAGACCTCAGATTTAACACGGAGAAGGACTTAATGTGATTATAAGTTATAGGTGTTAAGACAAATGATAAACCCTTTAGATCTAAATGTATTCTTTGGTAATACACGATATTTCATCACGGTGTGTATTTCGATGAAAATTTGCTGTCTTGTTGACTAAAACTTATTAAAGGTGCTTAGACACAGATTTGAAGTTAATATTTTCTCAAAATTTCTGTATAATATTACGACTTATATATTGCAATAGCATTTCACACGAAAATATAATTAAAAACTTATTTTATCTGGAAATTATTGGAACTAGGAATTCCTGGACGTGTTTGATTAACACATCCTTGCACTTTCACAAATTTTATTTTTTATCCTTAATATTTAAGAAAAGAAGCGATTTTGTTCTGTATTAATGAAAAACATTACATCTATAATCCAGAAAATTCAGAGTAGAAATGTGCGAAAGCAAACCCCCTCACTAATATCGTCAGCCTGTGCTCAGTGTTGTGTACAGAGTTTAACAAATTGAATACACCCGTGAAACGTAAACTGTTTCTGTAAACAGGGCACGAGCTCTGTTATTGTTAATGTTTACGATTCACCGGGTGAGTTTAATTGTTAAAGTCTGCACACACCACTGAGCACGGACTGACAATACTGTGAGTGGGTTTTGCTTTCGAACATTTCTACTCTGAATTTTCTGGATTATAGTTTTAATACTTTTCATTTATACACAACAAAACTGCCACTTTTCTTAAGTATTAAGAATAAAATTAAAAATTGTGAAAGTGCAAGGATGTGTCAATCAAATGCATCCAGAAATTTGAAGTTTCAATAACTTCGAGATGAAATAAGATTTTTATTATATTTTAGTATGAAATGCTATAGCAACATATAAGTCATGAAATTATACAGAAAATCTGAGAAAATATTAACTTCAAATCTGTGTCCAAGCACCTTTAACACGAGAAATATGACAACTGGTTTTCTACGTAAATAAAAGGAATAAAAGAATGAATGTCTTCCTTTTTCATTCCAATTTGAAAGGAAGATTATTAGGAAAGGTCCCCGTAGTTCCCTGTAAATGTTCATTATTGGTTTTGAATGTTGTCACAACTCAAAGATCTACCTAACAATCCAATTCAAGTTAACAAAATGTTATTTTAATTATTATCAAAAAATATGAACATTTTGTATAACCCTGTCAAGTTTTAAAAAAATATGATATGAAAGACTTTTTAACCTTGTCATGTATCGTGATACGTATCGTATCATGAACTGAATACCATGATACATATCGTATCGTGAGGTTCGTGTATCATTGCACCCCTATGATTCCCACATATATGTTTTCATTTTTCTGCATGTTAATGAACTTAAGTGTTGCAAGGAATATTATGCATCTCCCTTAAAGGACTTATCGCATGATTTTTCAAAAATCGTAATTTTATGAAAAATATTATCTACAACCTTGTTTATTAAAATACTGAATACAATAAACTTTGTTGAAAGCATATTTTAAGAGATATTGGGAGTTGAAATTCAAATACGGGAATATGCATATTTCAGTCGGATTTCGGCGAAATACTGCTCTGACGTCATAGGCGACAATTCAGTGATAGAGAGATGAGAATATACACACTATTTACGGAGTTATCAACGACAAATGCAGCTTAATTACGAAAAATGCTGAAAAAATTAATTTCTAACGTGCTTTTCAATTACTATAGAAACATTCACTAGTTCTAAGGTATAAGGCTTTTGAGATATTTTCGTTTTTTATTCCAAACATTTAGAATCTGTAGCTCTGATTACGGCAATGTTTCGTGATCGGGAAATTATTTTTCAAGATCGCCATCCTTTAAAAAACATATGAAGACTTGCATAAATTAATATTATGTTAAAAACGAAGAACAACAAAGTTATATAATGTTAAATTTGTGAATCAAATACGTAAATACATGTGATAAGATGACAAATCAAATCGTATTCTGATGGCGAGTTTCTTCGTCTTCGCCGCGTCTCCCTCGCTATCGTCGCTGCTATTCTAACAATGTTAACAGATTTTTCAGATTTTTTCTTGCTGACAATTGTAACATATAAGGTTGGATATTCAATTTCATATCGATAAAATAAGTGATTTGATCGTCCACAACGCAGAAAATTCAGGTTGTATCGCGTATATTTTCGTAAGATTAACGTGAAGAGCTGATCAGCCATTGTCGCCTTTGACGTCACAGGGTCACGTGATCGCTATCTAATTAACTTAGATTTTTAAATCAGGGGTTTTCATTTGAGTCAATAATTGATTAATTACCGCGGTTTATCCGCAGTAAAAGCACAAAATTTATAAACTGTAGTCACAATGAACGTTTTACACTTTTAATTTCAAATAATTTAGAAACATGCGATAAGTCCTTTAATAAAGCATTAAGGATTATTGTGGTAACCTTTCTAGATAATAAAGCTTTATCTCTAAAAATTCAAAAGATAAAAGTTATAATGGTTTAAAAGTAATCCCGAACAGTAGGTTTAAGGTCAAACTCAAGTGGACTTTAATGCTGGTATTTTTTGTCCCCCGCTTTCACTGAAAGTGAGGGATATTAATTTGGGTCTGTCTGTCCGTCTGTCTGTCTGTATTTCTGTCTGTCTGTAACACTTTCGTTTCCGTGCCATATCTCGAGAAACCTTGGAGCTTTTGCAATGAATTTTCATAGCAACTCCCTATGGCCTAAAGAAGAACCCTAATAGTTTCGAGGTCAAAAGATCAAAGGTCAAGGTCATAAATTCATAAATTCTGTCTGTTTTAACACTTTCATTTCCGCGCTGTATCTCGCGAATTCTTTGAGCTTTTACAATAAAATTTTACACAACTCCCTGTGGGCTAAAAAAAAAACCCTATTGATTTTGAGGTCAAAAGGTCAAAGTTCAACGTCCTTAATTTATAAATTCCATCTGTGTGTAACACTTTCGTTTCTGTGCAATATTTCGAGAAACCTTTGAGCTTTTGCAATGAAATTTTTCACAGCAACTCCCTATGGCTTAAAAAAGAACCCTATTGATTTTTGAGGTCAAAAGGTCAAAGGACAAGGTCATAAATTCATAATTTCTGTCTGTGTGTAACACTTTTGTTTCCAGGAGATATCTCAAGAAGCTTTTGAGTTTTTGCAATGAAATTTTACACCATAGCACCCTTTGACCTCTCTCACCCCTTGCCAAGTGTCCCGACCCGTTTTTCTTTTTAAATTTAATTATAGTTTTAAAAGTCGCTTGGCAATATTTTTAGCACAGGGGCATCAGGAGAGTTATTACATATAATGCACGTTGTCGTCAGACTTTATATTCTTATTACATCTATTAGAACTGTTTAGTAAAGGCTTAATTAGACACCATGTATTGTGTAAAATTTATGACAATATTGAACGTGAATATAAACATTGTATGTGACCTAATGTTCGCTGTATAATCAAGTGCCTCCGTCCTATAACACAACTGGCCGTGCTGACAAATTATCATACAGCGCTAACGCGCGGTATTCAATTTGTCATCATGGCCAGGTGTGTTATTGGACCGACGACATCCAAAAATAAGAATTCAATGCTTAAGTGGTTCATCACAAGATTTCCAAAGATTTCATCTGAATTTCTGAGTATATTAATGGGACATCTTCAAAACCTCTCAACAAGAAGAAAATAAATGAATTTAAATGAGGAAATGTTTACACTAGTTTATTTATTATCTAATTGTAACCATTTTGTTGCAAAATTGATTTGTATATATACACATGTATATGATACCACTATATTTAAATTATCTCTTAGCATGAAACATGCCTTGGTATTAAACATGCAAGACATTATATGTAAGTGTGAGTAGAAAATGAGTCATTAGAGTTTTTCAAATATCTTAAAAATCCTTTGTTTTTTTTCAAGGTTTATCTTGAGATTATTACCTGAAACCAGTCTGGATAGGAATCAAACACCAGGGGTCCTTCATAGCAGCACTGTCTGGCAAAGAGGAAGGCAACGACAAGGTTCTCCAAATTAGAACTCTCTAGTCCATCTCTCAGCAAGGCATCAACATAATCTGTAAAAGGTAACATGGAATATTCCATGTGTTTATATTGCTTTGCAGAATTGTGAGTACCTATTGTGTCTGCATTGCATTTTCATCTTAAACACTGTGGCCTTGCTTCTTGGGGATATTTTTTTTAAAGATTGCATATGTCTGTACTTTTTTCTTGATCCAATCCTTGGGGGGGGGGGGGGGGGGGGGGGGGGAGGTAATGCAGTTGAATCCAACCTTCCACATATAGATGAAATTTCTGATCCACAGGCTCTAGTTTTACTGACTCTGGCCTTTCCCCCTCTGTTTTAATCATCTTGCTATCAGAGTGGTTACAATCTTTATTTTTTATAAACTTGAATGATCTTCTTATATATCAGTTGAAATTGTCCCGTAGCTGTGAAAATGTGAAAAGAGACAGACACTGAACCTTCAGTTCACCTGAACTGAAAACAAAACCAAAGTCTCTGATAAGACTTAAGTTTTACTGGCCTTAATATAAAGTATTTCTCAGCAAAATATTTTTATACAGTATTAATTTTTATAAGGCAGAATGGGGCAGCAAATTTAAATGAATTGAAGCATTTCAATATCATTAGATTTTTCAACTTCTATTCATAACAGTATTCCACACATTTCAAATTAGATAAATTCTTTGTGAAGCAAGCATCTACATGTTTAACAAATGTGTCATTCAAGGAAATTGAAAATGAATGAAAAAGTGTACAAAATTTTATTGAAATTGAACAAAACCTGAAGGTGGAAAATTTCAATTAAAATGAACTCCCCCCCCCCCCCCCCCCCGGACATACATTATAGGGTTTGCTCCATTTTACCCAAAAACAGAACTTGATCTAGATATTCTTAAGATAAATCTGTATACCAAATTTCATTTCAGTATGTGCAACCCCTGCAAAGAAAATGAATGAAAATTGCAAATAATTGGATGTTTTTAAGTCCAAGGGGCATAACTATGTCAAACATTGCTCGATTGTACCCAAAACAGAACCTGACCTAGATATTCTTTTGATAAATCTGTATATGAAATTTCATTTCAGTATGTGCAACCTCTGCGAAGAAAATGAACCGAAACTGTTGATGGACCAACAGACAGACCAACCAAGCGACAGAGCAGCAAAACAATATGCCCTCCCTTCTTCGAAGAGGGGCATGAAAATAAAGGTTAGAGACGGACACACTGACAGCTAGAGCGCCAACACCAATGCCAAAGTACTTCTAGTCTTCAAACACAGAATCTATAATTAAAAGCAACCAATTCAAACTGCAAGCAAATAACATGATATTTCAACTTATTGTAGTAAAAAACATAGGTAATCAAAGACTACTAAGCTCACCTCGACAAATGTTATCTATAAGTAAGGCAAATCTCAATGCATCATATTTTTTTCCTAGCTAGTGTACATCCCAAGATCAATATCCATTAATATCAGATTCAGAATCCAAAGCAAGTCTGGAAGTGTCCATCCCTAGATACATCATCATCCATGCAAGTTTGGTCCAGGTAGGGCTTATAGTTCCTTGGGAAAGGACCTGCTCCAAAAACTCTAACCTGGTCACTTATCTGGAAAATCTAGGTCAGATCCAGCATCTAAAGCAAGTCTGGTAGTGTCCATCCCTAGATGCATCATCCATGCAAGTTTGGTCCAGGTAGGGTTTATAGTTACTTGGGAATGGACCTGCTCCTAAAACTTTAACCTGGTCACTCATCTGGAAAATCTAGGTCAGATCCAGCACCCGAAGCAAGTGTGGTAGTGTCCATCCCTAGATGCAATGCAAGTTTGGTCCAGGTAGGTCTTATAGTTACTTGAGAATGGACTTGCTCCTAAAACTTTAACCAGGATGCCGATGCCAATGCCGGGGAATGGACCTGTTCCTAAAACTTTACCAGGATGCCGACGCTATTGCTAATGCTAATGCTGGGGGTATAGTATAAGCTCATCTTGACTTCGTCGAGGTGAGCCAAAATTCAAAATTCAAACAAACTAACAAGACAACCAAATCTCTTGCAACCCCCCCTTTTTTTCAACAATCTTAAGTGAAACTTATATCGTAAATATTTTGTAGTGTATTTCATTTAATTTTTCAACAATGATTGTGAAAAAAATATAAAATATTATTGGAAGTTGCTTTTAAAAGTTCAATTTAATGTGTATTTTGATTTTTGCGGTTTTATTTTAACAATAAAATCGGTTTTAAAATACTTAAGAGAGGGTTGGGGCTCTTGTAAAGTTACGACAGATTTTGCACTTATGACTTTCTTAAGAATTTTTGTGAAAACGATTTTTATCATAAGTTTTAACTTAAGATCAAAATATGTCGTAAGATTTTTTGTAAAAAGATCCACTGGTTTCTACCTTGTATGAGATTGGAGAGGAATGGCATACAGACAACAGCTGTGGACAGGAAAGAGAGGACTACATGCCAGTTCACTTCCTGTGTCTCCATGACAACCTTCATCTGTTCTAAGACTTCTCCAGCCTCCAACATTACCAGACACTACACAAACAGAAAATTTACATAGAAATCAGAAATCTTAACATTTTTATTCAACATTTCAAAATGTCAATATTCTTTGCTTCTCAAAACAAGTTTAAAGTTCATTTTAATTGAAATTGAAATCCATTTTCTAAGGTAATCCATTTTTAAGGTAATAGTTACTCTCTAATCTACAAAAATGTCAATTTACTTTACACACCAAAGCTTAAACACGTTCATCCCTCATCTAGGAACAACATGGCCAAAACTAGAAATATGCCCATAGGACATGAATGCCCTGCCCATGGTTCATTAGTATTGAAACATGAAAAATTTGTATTAGTGTATAAAGTTTGATAAAAATACCTTGAATAATTTCTTTACAACTGAGTTTAGTACACAATAAACAGTAAAGTCAAAGGTCATTGGGAAGGTATAGGTAATCAAAGATTATGAATGATGAATGTTGATTGATGAATGTTATCTATAAGTAAGGCAAATCTAACATCATATTTTTTTCTAGTTAGTGTGCATTCCAAGATCAATATCCTTGCAAGTTTGGTTTAAGTAGAACTTATAGTTACTTGGAAATTGATTTGCTCCAAAAACTGTAACCTGTTCACTAATCAAGAAAATGTCAGTGGGTTCCAACATCTATCACAAATTGGTCACTGAAGGCAGCGACACTAAACAGAAAATTTTAAACATTAATAGTTCCTAAATATTCTGGGGGTTTTTTTACCCTCAAGGGATTTTACTCTATTTCTTGTGCATTTTCCAACTTAGCATGTTGAGAAGTTGGTCCTGGTGATTTTTATTGAAATTCTGTTTTCATTTATAAGGATATCTTTAACTCAGAATGAATATTACATGGTTAACTTTATTTAATGTAACCTTTAATGAAAGTTTCAACGTTTAATTTTAAAATCATTGTGTGCTGCCTATTCAATTTCATTATTGATACATGTATAACTTTGGCTGGATTTTGCAACATATGGTATGACATTAATTTCTGATTTTTTTTACCTGTTTGTACCAGAGAGTTAGTGAAGAGGGGAGTTTGCTGTACCTGTTTTTACCTGTTTGTACCAGAGAGTAAGTGAAGAGGAGAGTTTGCTGTACATGTACCTGTTTTTACCTGTTTGTACCAGAGAGTAAGTGAAGAGGAGAGTTTGCTGTACCTGTTTTTAACAGACTAAGTAAAGAGGGGAGTTTGCTGTACCTGTTTTTACCTGTCTATACCTGAGAGCTAGTGAAGAGGAGAGTTTGCTGTACCTGTTTTTTACCTGTCTATACCTGAGAGCTAGTGAAGAGGAGAGTTTGCTGTACCTGTTTTTATCTGTCTATACCTGAGAGCTAGTGAAGAGGAGAGTTTGCTGTACCTGTTTTTTACCTGTCTATACCTGAGAGCTAGTGAAGAGGAGAGTTTGCTGTACCTGTTTTTACCTGTCTATACCTGAGAGCTAGTGAAGAGGAAAGTTTGCTGTACCTGTTTTTATCTGTCTACACCTGAGAGCTAGTGAAGAGGGGAGTTTGCTGTACCCGTTTTTACCTGTCTATACCTGAGAGCTAGTGAAGAGGGGAGTTTGCTGTACCTGTTTATATCAGAGAGTTAGTGAAGAGAATTTGCTGTACCTGTTTTTACCTGTCTATACCTGAGAGTTAGTGAAGAGGGGAGTTTGCTATACCTGTTTTTACCTGTCTATACCTGAGAGCTAGTGAAGAGGAGAATTTGCTGTACCTGTTTGTACCAGAGAGTCAGTGAAGAGGAGAGTTTGCTGTAGGTCCATTCTTTTTGTGTTTTTAAGGCATCTGCCACTAAAAGCAATGAACACACATAAATATAAATAAGGAAATGTCCTGGACAATGACAAAGTTTGTTCAGTCTCAACAAATGGCAATAAGACTCTGAACCTAGCAAAACAAGAGGCCCAAGGGCCTTGAATCACTCTTCTGATAAACTGTACAACCTATCACTTCTATTTGAAATGCTTGAAATTCCAAAGGTAGGTCAACATGACCTACATTTTAGATGAAACACTCTGAAATCCCAAGATGATTCTAAGAAAATTAGTACCTGAAAGTTGGTCATGGTGACCTACTTATCACTTGTCATTCTCTGAGGACCCAAGATGCATCAACTGACAAAGTTTGATGATTCTAAGCCAATTAGTACCTGAAATATTTAATTAAAGCCATAAATTTTCAAAAGTAGGTCATAGTGACCTACTTTTCAGTCGACCTACTCCGAAGACCCAAGATGCATCAACTGACAAAGTTTAATGATTCTAAGCCAATTAGTACCCAAAATACAGGGTGTCCAAAAAGAAAGGTAACACTTTCATACTTTTGGAATGCAGATTTAATGTTGAAAAATTTATATCATAATATGTACACCTATAAAACAAACACGTAGGTTTGTTCTGGTAGCATAATTTAGTTAATATGTCAAATAATGTTATTTTAACAGCGGTTAAAGCGACACTGTGACGCACACACGGGAAAATTGACAAACATAGAATTTTTACATGACCCTTGCAAATTTTGTTCAATTCCTAAAAGTATTAGGTTTCAGAAAATTACAGGTTTGGGAACCTAAAAAATCTATTTTTATGGAGAAAAAAATAATTTCTGTATAACCCAACAGGAAAATATTGTTTTACCATTTCCTCCTTATTGTACACGTGCGCAGAAAAGTTGAAGAAGTTACCATGGTCTCGAGTACCAAAAAATGAATGTTGGTAGACCAAGAATTTAGATACAATCTTCAAAAAAGATTATTAGAACATATTTCTCACCTTTGCGTGCTCCGATTGAATGTTGTTTACAAGTTTACGCTAAAAATAAAAGTGGCGTGACCTGGACATGCACGATAACAACGAAATGGTAGGTACAACCTTTGTTTTTCCGGCACTTTTATTGTGCAGTCTTTTCCTGCTCTGCAGTGCAATTTAGTTGTCATATTCTCGCTATACTCGTAATTTTCATTAATCTTTCGCTTTATGATACAGATACCTTAAAAGAAACACGATTTTGACTCATTATGTAACTTTAAAGTACAGAGTACCTATTTGTCATTTCAATAATTAATGACGTTCTCTAAATGACGTCCTATCATCAGCTTCCCTTCCCTAACTCGCACTTTGAAATTATTAATAACATTTTTACACATTTCTTCACTGATCTTCTTAACTTCCCGTTTGATGTTTGACAAAACCATATTTGTGTCCATCGGTTTTGGCCTGTACACAGAAGACTTGAGGTACCCCATAGAAAGTAATCGCACGGGTTCAAATCAGGACTGTGATTGTCCACAATCCTTCACTTCAGGGTATCGTCGGGAAATCACCTTGTCACTGAAGATTTCATTGAGATAATCTAATACAATATTAGATGAATGTGCTGTTGCACCATCTTGCATGAAAAAGTTTGAGATCCTTCCTAAATATGTCATGAACACAAGTTTTAGGGATTCCAGTCTCTGAGGAGGAATGTCTAACTGATTTCTCTGGACTGTTAGCATTTCTCGATGCGTACTCACATTTTCGTAGCTCCGACTTGACCTCGGCCGACCTGCTTTTGGAGCATCTGCTACTGATCCTTGTCGCTCGAATTTACATATAATCTTGTAGACATGTTTTCTGCTTACATTACAATTCTAAACTTTTGCTTAAAGTCTGTTACACATTTTGTTTAATAAAATTGTTTGACGATAAAAATATGCTGTTCTGACGTGAGTCACACCATACTGATATAACGTTTAATTGAAATGATGTCAAAGTGTCGGAACATCGTATGTTTTGGCGCATTATTTTTTCAAATAGTAAAAACTTTCGTTTGAGACCTTTCGAATGATATCAGTTTCATAGAAATAGCACCAGATTTAGCGAAGTTATCAAAATATTAAAGTGTTACCTTTCTTTTCGGACACCCTGTATTTAATTATAGTCATATAAATTGAAAAGTAGGTCATGGTGACCTACTTTTCAGTTGACGTTTTTTGAGGACCCAAGATGCATCAACTGACAAAGTTTTATGATCATAGGCCTTAAAATTATGCCTCTAAAATGCTTTGAAATCGATTGCCTGTGACCTACTTTTAATAAATGTTTTATGGGCCCAAGATGCATCATCTTACAAGATTTAATGATTCTAAACATCTCAGTATTCGAATTAATGACCTTAATTGTTTTGAAAAAGATTAGCCATAAAATTCAAAAGTAGGTCAAGGTGACCTAATTTTAATCGATGTACTCTGAGGATCCAAAATACATCAACTGACAAAGTTTGATGATCATAGGCCTTAAATTGTTCAAAATATGCCTCTAAATCATTTTGAAAAAGAATGGCCACAAAATTTAAAAAGTAGGTCACCATGACCTACTTCTGAGTCAACGATATGAGGTCCTTAGATGCATCAATTGACAAGATTTGATGATCCTAGTCCTTACAGTAAACAAAATATCAACATTTTAATAAAATGTAACTTTTGGTCAACTTTGAAGTGACCTTGAGACCACGCCCTTTGCCCCAGGGTAAATCCCCGTGCAACTTTTAATCTACAACATATCCTCATCCTTTTGTGTAAGTTTGGTGATAACCTGCCCAGTGGTTCTTTAGAAGAAGATTTTTTAGCAACCAGTACTTTTGTTTCTATTTTCCTAATTATCTCCCCTTGTTTAAGGGTCACAACCTAGTTTTAGTATAAAAGGGAGCCCTAGAGCCAAGGATACCCTGTGACAAATTTGACAGTAATTGGCCAAGGGGTTCTTGAAATATAGCCCATATTCTAAAAAGTTTATGCACACCGCACAAATGGCCATAGCATTAGCTCTTTGAGCCTTTGGCTCAGAAGAGCTTAAAATGTACATTTATTGAGAAAATTACTGAAAACCAATCTTGTTTGTAGCCTTCATTTTCCAAACTTTATTCACTCTCAAATAACCCAATGAAACTTCAATCAAAAAAGTTTTTTTTTCTCAAAGAGTCAATAAGAAACTCTCATGAAAAATGTTATTTAAGGTATGTCACTCGTGAAATTTGTTATATCAAGGATTTTTTGAGAAGTATATTTTGGATAAGTACTCATACATGTATAGTATGACTTAAAATCGCAGAGAAAACGGGGGGTCAGTGTGTATCTAACTGAACTAAGGTACAATTAAGTTGACCTTTTTGCACTTAAACTGTAACTCTTTGGTTAATCACTTTAACCCTTATCATATTTTATCAGATGTAGCCATGGCAATAAACATAATCTTATTTTACGTAAAATAGTTTGAATAATATTTATCATTGAACAAATCATGCAAATTAATGTGCGTAAATTATTGTGTGACCTTTTCGCACTAAAAAAGTCTCATATTTGGGGTATTAAAAATCTAATTAGGCAATAGAATATTTTCTTGTATCAAACTTTTTACGACTTAAGTGCTGATCGGTCAGAAGTATTGAGTAGTTTAAAATAATGAAAGAAAAAGTTAGGGTCAGTGATGTAAATTTTGAAATATTGGTCAAAATATGCGATTTTCTGGCAAAAACCTGTGTAAATTTTATCTTGACTTCTTTAATATATCTTCACTGCTTGGCAAAGTTTGTTGAGCGAAGGTGTAAATTTTGTTATAAAAATACAAATTGAGATCTATATTCAATATTCCAGGCATATCATAACGGAAAATATTCTCTGAGTAAAAGTATGTGAGGCTAAAGTTCCAAGATAGTAAATTCAATAAATGTGCAGATTTGCAGAAGTTTCTTTTAAATATCCTTCCACTACAAGAAATAGTCCCTTATAAATCTTGCTTCTTTATGAATTTTTGAGCAGTTTTTTAATTGAATGTTGAATATTTTGCATTGTTTAATTTATCGTGGTAAATATGTTATAAAGATTGAATTGTAATAAATAGTTTTTACAGTACAGCTCACGAGTATCTTCCGGAAAACACCGGCCACGGTGGACCCTTGGTCCACGCTTTTGCGTGGACTTTGAAAAATGTCGGTGTCTTTGACGTTTCGTTTTCAGCGCTAAGCTGGCACACGGTGCGACACGGTGTGTACACGGTGCGTTTGCTCTGTGGAACTCCGTGCTGGTTAATCAACGTTAAGTGGTTTGAAATGACTTTAAAATAATTCATTGAAGATTTTAGAATAAAAAGCATTGAAATGCATATCACCCGCAGCGTGCATTTTCCTACTTTCGAAATTGTACTGACGTGTCGATGAATTTAACAAAGACGGAATTTTACCATGCAGTCAGCAATCTTGTGTTATTTGGAAGATATCTTCTTAAAGATTATTTTGTTTGTAAAACAAAAGCTAAATCTAAATTTAAAAAAAAATAAGAAAGGAATATTCTGCATTTGTACTATGCTCAGGAAATCCATGTGGAATTGTCAATTGATTATCTTATCCAACGTACTTTTTTTTAAATTATAAATTACTGTAGAAACTGGTGTATATGTAAATAATTACTACATCAAAATCAACACAGAAAATATATTGTTTTATTTAATTTGAATCGATGAAAAAAAATAGTTATGAAAAGATTGACTTAAATTTCCGTCCCGTAATGGAACCCATATTGAGGTGAGACCCGATGTAGTCTCTGTGTAATGAGTAAATCTCTGCCTAGCCCATCAGAAAATATGAAATGCTGATATTCAGGTATTGAAGATGCCCCACTTTTTCATCTGTGTCTGTTTGTAATTGTTCAGAATTATGTGTAAAATATAAACCTTAATATTTAACTTGCATTTTGTGTACAGATCGAAGCATTATTGGCACAACATTTTTCACAAAACTTGTCGCCAAGAATAATC